ACTAAGTCTCCTGATCCTCCAAGTAGAGTTACCAGGCTGCAGTCGCTTTCACATGGACTCAGAGAGCAAAATACCCTCTAGTTTAGGACTTAACATCAGAATATGAAGCCTCCTGTAATCTAAGGTCCATTCCTTGAATTAAAGGGTATTGGGCTCTCTGGGAATGCTACAGATACCACAGACACTCTCTTGCCCAGTCGCAGGGTGCTGGGAGTTGTGAGATCGGGTTTGGGGTTTAGGGGAGCAGCCCAGAACATCCCTGGTTTGCAGCAAATCACCAGAAGCCAAGCAAACAAACCCCAAGTGATTACTGCAGCCTTTGTAAGAAAAAGGTCAATTTCTGAAGAAAGTGTCGTGCTGGAACCTTCCAAGTCAAAACCTAAACGAACGCCGTACTGCAGCATTTCATGTCAGCTACGAAACTAGGTAATTGTACTTGCATTCTCAATTTTTCAAGACTCGAAATGGAAAGGACTCGCTGTCATGTTATGCTATAACATACTTTAACTATGTCTTCAACTATTATAAGGCACACCAAAATAGTACAGAGCTCCTTTCCAGGGCAATCGTATGAGAGTGCACCGATGTAGTTATGTAGGTCCCTATACTACGAGCCGCGTCCGCGCCTCCTTCAGCGCCAAGTAGCCGTCAACAAGGCTGACGGAAAGGAAAAGTGTCGCGGTACTGCGGCAGGGGGCTCTCTGCATGACTTGCCTTTTACATGAAAAAGTCTAGGATTCCTCCGTACTGCGGGAACGTTAGTTATAGACTCAAAGGGCCCATTTCCAGTTGGCAAAGGGCACATACAGGGCCCATCCACAAACGGAAACTCTGTCTTGTTCTCAGGGATTGGGGGAATGGATCCCTATGATAGCCCGATATCGTCTCCCATAGTAGTCCCAATAGCCCATTCCTTACCAAGAACCAGACAGAGTTCTCATCTGGTGATGTGCGACCAGGGTTGCATCTAAGCCCCTCGTCGCTCCTCAGCCGCCACTTTGTCTGCACCTGGTCGACCGCTTGGAGGATCATGGGGCTTAGGGTAGGTTCTTTAAAGGGATCTATGAGGGATCTACCGGGGTTTGGGGTTTAGGGTCTACTTGGATGATCATGGGACTTAGTATCTTGGGTTATCAATAATAAGGTAAGTGAGTTTTTATAACTACTCACAACCTCAAAAAGGGCACTTATAACCTTAACTACTCAGTCCATGAACCTCCGGGTTTCGAAGCTTTCAACCAAATTGGCATTGCTCAGGGATTCAATAAAGCTGTCAACCACACACGCGAAGCTTTCTGCCGACCCAAAACCCTGCGAACACACTTGTGGTCAACCTCCACCCAGGACGTCTAAATCCTGAGAACGATATTTCCAAACACATGACCACGAGGCCACTAGCATGCAAACAAACGGCACTCGGAGACAAAAGCCGCCGCCGCGCTCTCACAAGCGAACGCCCTCCCCGAAGCCCCGCGCAACGCCGCTTAGACAGTGCTCCAAGCAGCCTCCGTACGCCCTACCCAGGAACCCCCAAACCCCGCAATCAAGGAATATACCTTAAATCATTCAGGGAACCTATGATGATTAAAGATATATTCCTTGATTAAGGGGTTTTGGAGGCTCTGGGGAAACCCTACAAACCCGAAGCCCTGACCTCGACCAGCCAGTCGACAGCAATTCCACGCTCCTCTCGCAGGGTGACGCTTCGACCCTACCTGGAGGATCATGGGACTTAGTAAGTAAGGTTATAAGTACCCTAATTGGAGTTATAAGTATAGTTACCTTTTTTACGACCCTAGTTACTAAGTCCCATGATCCTCCAAGTAAGCCCTCGCCCAGGAAGTCGAGAGTTGACGTAGCTAGAGACTCCAAAATTCCTTAATCAAGGAATATGTACCCTTCAAGGGCTCCTTAAAGGGATCTGTAAGGGTTCTACCAGGGAATTGAGGTATATACCTAAAATCATCGACCCTACCATGATTTAAGGTATATTCCTTAATTAACGGATTTCGGAAGATCTGGATAGCTCATACCTAGAAAGCACGGTAAACTGTCCAGACAGAACTTGGCAGAACCCTTCTTTTCTTGTCACCTCACATCGTTTACAGCTCTGAATTCAGAACACCGAACCTGACCAAACCAAATGGGAGTTTCCGAAAATAGGGACCCTAATGTAGTACCCTAAATAGTAGGATCCTTTATTATAAGGACCCCCAAATACGGTACATTATAAGGACCCCAAAGTAAGGTACCCCTAATTTTGGGAAACTACCAAATGACAGCAAGCAAAGACCCAGAGACTCCAAAACCCCTTAATCGAGAGCTTCACCCCAGACTCTCTCAAACTCCAAACGTTCTTGACCTGAACCCCATATTGACCCTTTCTCAAACCAGCACACCCTAAATCATATGAGGGATCCTATTAGATGTAAAGGTATGTCCATTAATTAAGGGATTTTGGTCTGGGGAGCTCTCCCAGTCTCCTCGGGACTCAACTCGGGTTGATCCTGGCGGAAGACAATGGCAGCTCTGCATTTGCATGCTTCTGGAGCAGAGTAACACGATGACACCGGAGCTGTTCATTCGCGTGTGTGTGTGTGTGTGCGTATAAACAAATAAACATTCAGGAAGGTATGTCTGTCTGCGTATGTACGTGTGTATATACCTATATGTTTATGTTCGTTTTTGTAAGTATACATGTATTTTCATTCACTGGTACTTGTATTCGCAAACGTATCTGCTGATGTTGGTTACGCAAGCAAGAGCCTGGTGGTTTGAGGGTGTGCACAAAGTATGCTTTGATACATGTAAACTGTAGACGAAGCCAAAGTAACAAAAGGATGCAACATGTAGTTTCGGGTCCTACAACTATACCCTAAAGCCCTAAACCCATCCCTAAACCCTGAGCACGGGTGATTATCGAGAACTCCCAGGGTTGCTCCGGACACAAATAAGCAGGGACTTCAATCACTGAAGATCGGACGCTTGGCAAGTCGGGTTTAGGGTTTAGGATTTGGTTTTTAACGCCTTTTCCCAACTGCAGAACAACTGAAATCCCTCCAAGGGTTTCGGGCTGAGGGTTAAGGGTTTGGCAGGTGGAAACAGCCTAACCTAAACCCCCAACAAGGCCCACGAAGCCCTGCACCCCAAGGCAACTAACACCACCTTATAATTATAATACCCTTCTGGTACCGTTGAAGGTACTCCGAATACCCCTCATATAATTCCCTATAAATTAAGCCCTAAACCGTTTTCAAGTACCCCTGAAACCCTGGGATGTCTTTCCAGTAGCAGCTAAGTTCTGACTGGGCCGGGCTCGGCATCTGGCGCCCCGCCAGGCGCGCTTCGCGCGCGGTGGAGGGCGGCAGGGATTCCCGATTCCAGGGATTCTGAAGGCTCTGGGGTTCGTAGGGTTTGGGGATTTCAGGCTTCGTAGGGTTTGGGGTTTAGGGGAGTTCTGGGATTCTGAATGAAGGTTTCGGGTTTGCTTAGGATCTAAGGGTTGAGGGTTGAAGGTTTCGGATTTTGCAGGATTTGGGGCTTAGGGCCTCCAGGTTTAGGATTCTGCCCCACAGGGCCATCAGCAGCTTTCATGGCTCAGGGGGAGGCTTGGAATAGAGAGAGAGCTTGAGGGAAAGGCGGCTTTGGCAGTGGCCAGACGATCTGGAAGTAGAGTGAGGGAGTGTTAAAATCTCCCGGTATAAACATGATGCCCGAGCTTTCCTCACAACTGTATCACGATGTTTTTGCAGAAGCATGGAAGTCTCAGAATATGAAGGACACGGACGTAAACCTAGATGGTGGAGCGACCCTTTAAACACAAATGCCGATCTTCTGAAACCCGAGAACCTGTTCAAAAAAAACCACGAAGCCCGATTACTGCCCTCTATCAACCTGCATGATGCAGAGACCGTTGTAAGATTTCCTAGGAGGCGTGAAGTGGCCGAATGTCAGCCTGGAATCGCTTAGACCGCTATGCCGCACAGGAAATCTTGCTCCGGCTGGAGGGCTTCAGGGCGTTAGGATTCCGAGTTCAGAGGTCGAGGGATCAAAGGGCTTGAGGGTTGTATGTGTGTGTGTGTGTATGTATATATGTTTTTACATATGTGAATATAAATATATGTATGTATATACACATACACCTCTCTCATGTGCATCAATATAGAGAGGTACCCACATCTGAGTTTTTGTAGGCTACAGGCAGAGTACGTACCAATCGCCTCGTGGCTTTCGGGCGCAGACCGTAGGGGCAAGGGATAGGGTTTAGGGTCTTAGGGTCTTAGGGTTCAGGTTTTAGGGTTTAAAAACCCTAATTACACATCTAGTCGAAGGTAGGGCTCTTTAAGGGTTCATGCAAGGTTGAGGGTTTAGGGTTCCTTTATAGAAGTACCTATATCGTAGCAAGTGGGGTTTCTGTTGTAAGAACTGCTTATTGTAATTTGGGTGAGTATCCCCCATATAGGCAATTAGGGCCCTTAGGGCTATAAGGGTTGCTACAAGGGTTTACAGCTTCGGGGTTTGGCTTCGTGAAAGTGGTGTTCAGCATTCCGGATGCGGCGGCAGGGCGCAGGGTTATGGCATTCGCGAACTCTTTGGTTCACGAGAGCTGCCACAGTGAGAACCCTGAGATTATCGAGCAACTTCCGAAGACATCAATGCACTTTAAACAGCTCTGACCATCTGATCTTCTCAAAGAAAGATACCGAGTCTTCGAAAGTTGAGTCAACATGCCGAAATTCGGTGAGTTTTTCTAAGGCAGCCTGAATCCCAGCCTGTCATGCCTGCGCGTTCTCGTGCCAAAGTTTCGAGTCAGTCTATCCATTCAGGGTTTAGGGTTAGGGTCTTACGGTGAGGGAAACACAAGGACCCGAAGACAATCCGTTTCGAAGAGTCCTGTCTTGTTGACAAACGCCTTCAGAATGACAGGGAGAGAGTGGGATCATTCCGTTATAGGCCCATCCTGTAATGGATCGGAGCCACTTATCACCTTCCAAGGCTTTCTACAGCGGCTCATCTGATGGCGCCGGCTCGTAGCGATGGTTGCTGGGAGCGTAGAGGCTAAGTGGCCTCGAAGGAACTGAGAACAAACAGCAAGATCGTGATCGCAGTTGCAAGCAGATAAGGATGATCTTCTAGATGTTTCGGAAGAGTCAGGTAGATGCTGTGCACCTCGAAATGGCTTAACTTGAAGCCATCTTCGACCTAGATTCGAAGCCTAGGAAGGGGAGTCCGCATCGGATCTAAGAGCATAAAGAGACAAGCCCCAAGCAACGGCCTCTCGTCTTCCTGTCCTCTGGAAAGTCGTTGGCCCATGGCCATCACGGCCATGAAGCCTGATGCAACGTCGCCAAAAACAGCTCCCGTTCTTGCAAAACTCATGCCTGGAGCCTGCCCATAGGCACATGGAAACGAACTCAAACACGCCGGCACATCGGCATGGAAAGTGTGTGGTGTCTCTCAGCCCTCCACACGCCCATAGTCCCCAAAACGCTACGAAAACCCTCGAGCTAATGGCTTAGACCGAAAACCCCAAAGAAACGCAACCCACCAGAATAAAACCTCCAATGAAGCCCAAGCATCACAGAAAATCACCAAACAACACCAAAGGAATCCCTTAACAAGAAAAACCTGAAAGGACCCAGTCTAACGGACCGCCGAAAATATTATTGGGGCCTTCTAATTAGAATAGGGTGTTGGGGCCCACTATACAAGCCTCGGAACCAGGGAACCCAACGAAGATCCTGAAAGACCCCTTTGAAGAGAACCCTTTGATTATTAAGGCCCCGGTAGTCGTCGTTTACTTCGTCCCCAGGGGCTTAGCGACCCGAGGCCGAAGGCGGCGCCCAGTTCGGCCAAGCGATGCTGCTCCACCTGAGATTTCATCCAATTGCTACATTAGGGTTTAGGGTTTAGGGTTTCGGGATTAGGGTTGAGGGTTTAGAGTTTAAGGTTTAGGGTTTAGCGGGTTTAGGGTTAAGGGATTAGGGTTTAGGGTTAAGGGGGCTCTGTGGGGATACTGTAACAGCAGTTAAAGCTAAAGCTACTAAATGGTAAGGCTCCTTTGGAGGGCTATACCTGTGACTATAAGGCCATTTCTAAGGGCTCCACTGAGGGGATTCTGTACGGATACTGCAAGGCTACAACATGATGAAGCTCTTTTTGGGATAAACAAAGGTAGTTACTCTAACTGTAATGATAGGGCTTTTCGTGTGGGGGCACTATAGGAATACTTTAAGGTTACCCCAATGCCCCAGAAAAGGAACGTACGTGTAATCATCACAAGCTCACTACTAATATGATTTGCCGTATCTTCCGTAAGACTTCTGAGGCTGCTTGTCAGGGATCCTGTATGCACGATTTGGGGCTTATAAAGGTCCGTATATGGTTTCTATAACGGCCTGGGTTGCTTGTAATGGCGACTGTAGCGAGATTCTTCACGGGTTACAACATGGGTCCTTTAAGGGTTACTCTAAGGGATGTCTGGCTAAAGATTAGATGGTGCAGGCTGCAGAGTTTTCGCAGGGCTCGTTTATCGGGTTCTGTTCTTCTTGGGCTCCTATATAGGGGTTTTGCAGGGTGCTCGTTGGGCTCGAACAAGGTTCTGTAGTCTTCTGCTACAGTGCTTATTTCTTCGAAGGCACCACTTGGAATCGGGCTTAGGGTAGTGGAGCTTTGACCCCGTCAAGGATACGTAAGGATCCCCAACCTCTTATTTTAGCCTATTCATTCCCTCTGAATATGGGATGATTACCTCAATGCTGTGGCCCTAAGGGTCCAGGTACCCAATGATCATATACTCTCCAAAAGTCCTAACCTACATAACTACTATCCTAAAATCGAGTACCCGATTTTTGGGTCCTTTGGACCCTTGGGGTAGGGTTTGAGACTACAGGTTGCTGTGGCGGGGTACCTTGTTTTGGGGTCCTTACAATAAGGATTCTACTATTTAGGGTACTATATTAGGGTCCCCAATTTTCGGAAACTCCCGGTGGGAGCTGGGATGAAGTTCAGATGGGCCGGAAAGGCCGCAAAGCCTGCATGCAACGTGGAGACCGATGGATCGACACAGAGGAGGCTGCTAATTCAAATAATCCTAAGTATCTATATAGTAGAATTTCAGGGCTTCTATTCATAAGAATGACTACTATGCCTTTTGGGTAACTATCACTCCATATAGGTACTTAGGAGACTTTGGGACAGAGGAGGCTGCTGAGTTGAAACCGAAGCTCGTGGCGGCCTTGGGGCCCACTACCGGGGCCTTAAACTTAATTCTGCGAGTAAGGTTTTGGGGGTTCCTTATTGTACTTATGGCATAAAATATCCCCCCGAATCCTATTCTATTTGTTAAGGCCCCAGTATAAGCTGCGACAAGCTGAGTACAAAATCTGCTAGGAGTGCAGTCTGCGTACTCAGCAGGTGCATGTACCGTCTTCCATGTAGACTTCAGCCCCATAGAACCTTTAACTTGAAGGAACCCTTATGCCTCATAGGAATCCTTAAAGAAACCCTTACAGTCCTCTTTTAGTAACCGTAAAGGAGCTCCAAAAGTTCCCTTGTGGTAACCCTTAAAATCCCCTATGAGGGTTCGACTCGTTGTGGCCGAGAGGCGTTCTTGGCTCGGTGCCGAAGTTCGTGGAACTTCTGCTCCAGAGCATCTAGACCTGTCGAGAATAATGATAAGAACTATTAATCATAACAAGAAGAAGCAATAAGGAACACCATGGTAATGTTATGATGATTACTAATAACAGTAATGTTCAAGCTTTTGCTGTTATTGTAGTTAGTATTTTCATTACTGGCATTAGCATTAGTACTAGTACTAGTATTCCTATTAGTAGTATTAGCTTTGAGAGCAAGATGAGTACGTCGTGGAGACCGAAGTTGAGAGTTTCATGCAGCCTCTCTGTCCACACTTTCTGCTTGGAGGATCATGAGACTTCGTATCTGGGGTTGTAAATAAAAATATAACTCCAATTAGGGTACTTATAACCTTACTTGCTCTGGGGTTATAATTGAAGTAACTATACTTATAACTGTACTTATAACTACGTATAACTCCAGTTAAGGCTTCTCTGTCCACACTCTCTATCGGCTTTGTCGGAGCATTTGCGAAGGATGCTGGAACCTCAGATTTTCCCCAAGGCTCCCCTGTACCTCCTTTGAGGGATCTCTCATAAGGGATCCTTCAAGGGATCTATAAGGATTCTGTGAGGGTCTAGGATATAACGGTCCATGCACCCAAATAGTATATACTGAGGCGTTACAGAGGTTCCTAATGTACTTTCAAGGCTTCAAAGTATAGTCACTACATAGGTACATGAGCCTCAGGGTTTACCGAATCCTTCTGAGTAACTACCCTGCCCTCTAAAGCTGCTTCTGCCTGCTCACCACAAGCACAAAGACCCTAAACCCTAAACCTCAACGGCCCGGCCTTGCATGGAATTCAAATCCACCTGGTTGACTTGGTAGCCATCCGTCGGATGAGAATGAGACTGGCGCGGCAGGGTTAGGGTTTAGGGAGCGGTCTCTCTCCTCTCTGAAACCCAGAGCCTCCAAGACCACCGAATTAAGGAATATCCCTTAAGTCATAATAGGAATCCTACTATGACTGAAGATACATTCCTTGGTTCAGGGGGTTTGGAGTCTCTGGATACCATGGTGGCACTGGCTACAGAGGAGCCTCTCATGGAATACAGATGCTTCGCCTGAGGGGAGGTTGAGTGAGCTGGCGGATTGCTAGGTTGAGCTGGAGAGCTGGCATCTTGCGGTGGAGAGGTCTTCGCCGCCATCATCTCTAGCAGAAGCAGACGCGTGAAGCATTTTAGGCACCTGACCTCTGCAAGAAGCCCCAAGGGTCCAAAATCCTAACCTACATAACTACTATATCCTAAAGCCGAGCACCTAATCATTGGGTCCTTAGGACCCTTGCAAAAGTGCGCACAAGCTCCGATCTGGCCTTCAGGTAGCGCACGCGCGTGCGCACTCCGTGGTCCCCGCAGCTTGTGCTGCATTCGCCCCAGCTTTGCCAATCCTCCCAGGAACCTGTAGCGAGGGGTGGAAGTAATATAGGGGCCTCAATAATCAGAAAAGGGTTTTGGGGCCCATTATACCATAGTTATAAGCAGGAACCCCCCAAAATAGTATAGGTAGTTATTTAGGCCGCTATATTATCCATCTCGGGCACAGTCCAGCGGCGGCCGTCAGATCAAACCGGTGCCATCGGATTGCAACATATCTGGCTATCGCATAAGGAACGAGCTTTGCACGTCGTTAGCATGGGCTCTCGCCCTCAACAGATTTGCTCAGTCTGCTGAAATGCAGCATCTCCCGAAGCTAGCCTCTCAAAGCCTAGCAAAGCAAACAAAACGCAGTCAGGCGGCAAAAGGAAGGCGTGTGGCATGCGCGAGGGCATGCCGCAATCTCCTCCCATTCTGAAAACTGATGCAAGCCGTCTAAGATGTTAAGGTTGAGGGTTCAGGGGCTTCAGGGTATCGGGTTTCGGGGTCGATGGGGCTAGGCCTTGTGAACAGTTTGCTGTCAGTAAAACCAGGAGACAATCCAGGACCCTCAAAATCCGAACGTGTTTCATGTCATGTGGACTGCTTGCCATAAGGCTTCCTGCCTCACCTACATGGTATACACTTGGGCCGTAAAGTACCTATGAATGTATATATATATATATATAATGTAAATAAATAAATAAATAGATAAATAGATAAACAAATAAATAAGTAAATAAATATATATATATATATATATATATATATATATATATATACATATACGAACCCCTCAAAGGCCAAAGTATACATCATATGGGTACGAAGCACCTCGGCGAACTTCTGTTCGCAGACCATCCCGCCGCAATCGGCATGCACCTTGACCTTGGCGTCGAAGACTTGGGTTCCTTTTAAGGATTCTATAAGGGTGACTACAAGGGTTCCTTTCAGGATTCTATAAGGGCGACTATAAGGGATTGCTTTCAGGAGCTTCTAAGGGTGACTATAAGTGTGGTTTTAAGGATTCTGCAATTCGACAAGGGAGACTCGAAGGGTTGCCAGAGGGGTGTAATATCGTGTCTTCTGAGAGTTTTTTGGTGTAGAAGAGGGACCAGGGAACCCAGCTTTCGAAAAGCCTCTGCCGGGTCTTCCAAAACCCCTTGAGTAAGGATATGATGGGTTCTACTGTAACTCCCTAAACCCTGAACCCTAAACCGAGAGTCCGTTTATATCTGGGTGGTTCAAGACCGGGCTTTTTCCCTGAGGCTCCATGTAGACACATAGTATATACTTCTAGGCGCAAGGTAGCCATGTAGGATCCCTTACTAGGATTACAGGAGGTGCATGGAGCCTTAGGGCCTTAGGATGCTGGCACATGCAGCCATGGGACATGGCGGTAGCGTTTTCGCTGGCCGCCACACTTATCGCAGGCACCCCACATTTCCTGAGGCACGGCGTAGGTTTTTGTTTTGGTTATCGCCTCCTTTCCACCCGCCAGTGATTCCTTAGGCAGAAGGCCATGTTGGCTGAGGCAGTAGACAGCAGTGAGGCTCTTCCCAGGAGGGTTTAGGGCTTGGGACTGCAAGTTTGTGGAGTCAGACACAACATGCGCTCCTCCTGTAGAGACTTCAATGTTGTAATGACTGGTACTTGGAGGATCATGGGACTTAGTAAGTAAGGTTATAAGTACCCAAATTGGAGTTATATGTATAGTTATCTTATTTAGAACCCGAATTACTAAGTCCCATGATCTTCCAAGTAAGGGTGCTGTGTAAAAGCGGGGTAAACCCTCCAGAGCTGCTTGCTACATCTCTGTCTGTGTCGTCCATCATCGGGAGAAGCTAGGCTGCATCTGAAGAGGAACACTCTAAATCTCTAAACCCTAAACTCCTAAACCTCTCAAATCCTAAACCCCTAAACCACTGAATCCCTAAACCCTAACCCTTAAACCTCAAACCCCAGACCGATGCCCAGGCGCCCACTCACTCCATAGGCAATCCACTCTGGTGCAAGTGGGACATGGCTGGAGCGAACACGCCTGGAACAGACTTAGGGCTTAGGTGTATAGGGCTTAGGGTTGGTTACCTTGTGGGGTTTAGGGCTTATAGGGTTTAGACGGTTTATAGGGTGTATTAATAACTACAATAGGGGTTTGGGTTTTTTCTATACTTTTGATAAGGACCCTCAATATAAGGAACCCTAATAAAGACCCAGAAACTTAACCAGGTTCCTGCATCAGGGGTTTAGGGCTTAGGGTTGGTTTCGCTTTCGGTTTGGCGGCCGTGGGCCCACAGTGACATGCTGGGGATAAATCCCTTCGCGATAGCAGTTCCCTACCAGTTCGGGGCCACACTTGAGGGTGGCTCGATGTTGCAAGCGACACGGCTGCAAATGTATGCTTCTTGACTTGCCACTCGGACATGACTGCATACATCAGAATCAGCCTTGAATGCTAAAGCTGCTAAAACACTCTCCACTGCTTCCCCTGCCGCCCAAGTAAACATGCGTAACCACGTTCGACATATTTCTTCTGTACTTCCCTTCTCTCCTGCACGCAAACGCAGACCCTAAATCTGGGCCGCCGCCGCCACCACCTTCGCTAGTACATATTTGGGAGTTTCCGAAAATTAGGGCTACCTTGTTTTGGGGTCCTTATATCAAGGATCCTGCTATCTAGGGTACTATATTAGGGTCCCCTGTTTTCGGAAACTCCGATTTGGGGTTATATCAGTTTCTTTCTGGTGTGCTAGCGGCTGACTTCTTCGGGCAGTGGCTTCTTCACCCGAAGTACTTAAAGGGACTTAGTAACTAGGGTTATAAATACGATAGCTATACTTATAAGTAACCATAATCGCAGTTATACTGAGTCCTATGAACCTCCAAGTAGCCGACTGAACTACAGCCAGGTCGCCTTTGTCACCACCAGCGATCTATCACAGTGCTTGCCGGCGTTGTGTGGGTTGTTCTGAAGATTCCTTCCGAGACGGGATATTTCGGGTTTGACTCTGCTGCTCTAGGGGTACCATAAAGGTTCTATAAAAGCACTATGAAGTTTAGAATGTATAGGGTCTGGCCTTTACGGCCTACTCTAACCCCAAATAAGCTACCTTTCCGCTAAGACTTATATATCCCTAAGGGTCAACGTACCTAATAATCATGCACTCTCCAAAATACTAGCCTGCATGACTGCTATCCTAAAATCGAATACCTAATTATTAATTGTTGGGTCCTTTGGGTCCCTAGGCTATGTATAACATCCTCCCAGCCGTATGCAATCTTACCCAAAGCATAAAAGTATTTCCTATTGCTATAGACTCCCTACATTCACTACACCCCTAAACCGCCACCCTTAAAGCACTAAACCCTTATATCCCTAAACCGTCGAACCCATTCCTGTTTATAGAATCCCCACGTTCATTACATACACGTAATTACTTAGGACCTTTTTGGGAGGGTAGGCATTCTTGCTCATCCTTGCCTCTGTCGGATCCGCTGTCCGATGCCGCAGGTAACCGAACAGACGCCCCACTGCTGCCACAGGCTGACCTCCGCGGCTGGGCTTCAATAGGATAGGGCCTACGGTTTACATACATGCATACTTACGTGCTGCTTACATACATGCATCATTGCATAATTACATACATACATAATTACGTACATACATACATGTTCATACATACAAAATTACATACATAAGCATATACATATATACGTAGTCAAACATATTCGTACATAATTACAGAAAACTAATGCATATATACATACATACATACACACATTACATTACATGCATTCACATATGACAATGTTCGCCGGGCTGACCTGGCAGTCCACCGGGACCCCACCGCCGCAACTCGGGTCGTCGTTGCCTTGGCCGAGCGCTATTGATGTAAGCGCCTTAACCCTAAGGCTCAAATTGGCCCAAAAGCCTTACATAATATGGTCTTCAAATCCAAAAACCTCAAAACATGATGTAAGGACCTGAAGGCCTTAATTCTAACTTGGGTGATGATATTAGGCTATCGTCTTCTTAAGATGTAAGGACCTCAAGGCCTTCATAGTTAGCAGAGGGCTTGGGGGATGCCCTAAACTGAAAACCTCATAACTAGGTACTTGGGTTTTGGATAGTAGTTTTGTAAGTTACTATTTGGGAAAGTATATGAGTCTTTGGTACCTGGACCCTTGGGGTAGTGTATATGCCAAGGAACGGACCCTTTAGGAAAAGATGTTGGTAACTTTTACTTTTAGGACCTTAGTCACTAGAATACTTACCTTCAGGACCCCCCCCCCCCCAAAACAGCACTGGTAAATTCGGTAGCGGGCGCATAGGGCGCTGTGTGATTTCATGCGTTCTTGTGTTTTACTGCACAAATCAAAGGTTTTTGCTGCTGTTCAGGACTAAGGGGTGGGGGGGGGGAGGGGGTGGGGGGGAGGGCTTAACAGCGTCCGGCCGTCGCATATCCTCTCGAGCGGGCAGTTGCGAGCCGGCGGCATCTTTGAGAAACGTCTCAGAAGTCTGTGAGGCGTCTGTGCAAACCTCTGATAGGTCTTTGAGAAACGTCTCACAAGTCTGCGAGAAACCTGTGTGAAGTCTCTCAGAAACCTATAAACGTCTTAATGACGGTGAACATGATGTTGTTACCGACAATAATGAGGGTCGTCATGATGATGAAGATGCTGAGGATGATAAAGATGTTGATGACGGAAACGATGGTGATTGTGATCATGATCACTATGATGACTGCTAATATGATGAAACATGATGATAACAAACCCTAATGACGGTGAAAATGATGTTGCTAGCTGATGATATTGCTGGCTGTAAAAAATGCAATTAGTTTCGGTGATGTCCTACAAACCTGCTTTTTGTATAACTCATGCTAAGACCCCGGTCTCGCGCACATTCTAAGTACGCCCGCACCCCATTATTCAGACTCGTATATTCTGCTGCTTATTTGTCGGAGGCGTCTGGTGGCGAGTAGGACTTGCTGAAGGCTGCAAGGGCGGGAGGGGGGGGGAGAATGCTACAATGCTTTACTTGTGGTCTCCATTGTAGCTCCTGTCTGGTTTCGCAAATTCTAGGATCGTATAAGGTAACCAAACGGGAACTACAATGGAGACTAATTACAGGTAGGTGTAGTTTTGCAGATAGTGTACCCAAGAACACGGACGGTCAAGTACTTTGTTAGCAGATTCTGTTTCGTTTTGTATTTGCTCAATGAAAGCTCCGCTTCAATCCTTGGTAGACCTCAAGGAAACCCTGGTCGAAACTTAGATGCCCCAAGATGCCCGGAAATGTGACAGCTTGCACGTGCCATCTTTAAACGGCCATACGAACATACCACTGGCCTGAACCTGAAAACCTTAAGCCATAAACCCTAGACCCCAAGCCGTAAGTTGTAGGTCGAAGACTAGCAGACCACCCAAACTCAAACCACCCAAACTTCTATCTCCCAAGCTCCAGATCTTCAGACTCAGAGCCAAAGTGCATGGGGAAGTTTGCTTCAACGCACCCTCGCACCATTTGCCGTTCTCCTCTGCACGTCTTCGTTTGTCTTAGCAGCTTTAAGGGTTCAGGGTTTAGCAGGCTTCCCGATCCCCAGATTAAGCCTCCGAAGCACCACCAGCGAGTCAACAACCCGAAGTGCCATGCATTGAAGGTCTTGCAACCACAATCCTACAAACCCCAAAGCCTACTTGGAGGATCACGGGACTTAGGTTTTAGATAAGGCAACTATACTTATAACTCGAATTAGGGTACTAATTCCCATGATCCTCCAAGTAGACCCTCAACCCTAAACTCTATACCCTAAGCCCTATACATCCCTTAAGGAACCCCTTTAAGGAAGAGAAGTATCTATATAGTCTAAACCCGAAACCCCTAAAGCACTGGAGGCCCAGGACCCAAAAAAAACCCTAAGTCCCCTAGACCCGTAAAGCCTAAATGGGGTTTTCCGAAAATAGGGGGTACCTTATTTTGGGGTCCTTATAATAAGGATCCTCTTAATTTAGGGTGCTAGATTAGGGTGCCCTATTTTCGGAAGCTCCCAAATTCCCCTCAACCCCCTAAACACGAAATCCGCAACCCTAGCAGAAATTACTTAAACTTCAACCCCTGAACCCGGAATCCCCCGAAATCCCCTAAACTCTGAATTCCCCTAAACTCTAATCCCTAATCCCTTGCAACCTTGCCTTGCCATGTACGGCGATGACCCGCGCACGCCTGGCGACCCAGGGAGCTGGGGATTTACTACTTAGTTGCTGAGTTCATAAGTCCCAAAAAGTGTACACTTTCAGTTCTATTAGGGGCTCTGCTATCCTACAGTTCTATAAGGGGCTCTACTACCCTAAAAAGTGTAAAGTGTACTCACTCAGCCACTAAGATACTGCAAAGACAATTCTCCAGAATAGGCGTTCCTGAAGATGATCTACAGGAGTTTCTCTAAGGGTACTTTAAGAGTACGTAGTTCTCTAACGCAGGGCCCCTTTTTTAGGTCCCAAATATAGTGCGGCACCCTCTAAAACGGGCCCCCGAAGAAACCCTACTTTCATACCCATAAGTGGTTAGTACAAGGGCGATTCGAGGCAAATATGTGGAGCCTGAATACAACGTTAGAATAGGGTTTGGGGAATACTGCACTACACGTATATCGGGCCTACCTAAACCCTAAACCCCAAATCCTAAACCCTGAACCCTAACTCGGTTTCAAGGATGTATTGTTTTAAACTCCCACAGGATGGTCTGGGCAGTCTGGCAGTAGAGATGCCTACCCTTGAACACCAGATTCAGGAAGGATGGCTGACGCCCCAGACCCTAAACCTGAAACCCTAAAGTTTTTTACTTTCAGACTTTAAACACCCTAACACGAATATAGCCCTAAAGCCTAAAGACCCTTAGCACAAAATCCTTTTCTCGACCCCTTGTGATGCCAGCCCAGTGACTATCAAAATAGATCCCATATAGAAACCCCTTATAGATGCCGTTTACAGGAACCCTTAAAGCATACCTTTTAAAGGAACCCAACACTCACCTCTTGATGCCAGCTCAAGGACCATGGTTACAAATCCCATATAGAACCCCGTGAAGAACCCGTATACGTCCCTTGAAAGAAACCCTTCTTGGATCCCTTAAAGGACCCCTTAAAGGTTCCGAGGGGACCAAAGGATCCCTTGTTGAAGGAACCCTTCCCTCTAAGGATCCTTTTCAAGGAACCCGACACCCACGGTACATAGATCCCTGCTAACCCCTTTCCCCGGTGACCTCTTGATGCCAGAACAAGGGCCATGACAATAGATCCCATAAAGAAACCACCTTATAGATGCCTTTCATAGGAACCCTTCAAGCATCCCCTTTACCCTAAACGTTACACCCTAAACCCTTTGAAGGAAGCCAACACCCACCTCTTGATGCCGGAACAAGGAGTGGTGCAGCCACTCCAGGGCTGCCACTGGCCGAAGACCTCGCAGTCGTCTATATTTATTCCTCTACTCCTTTCGAGTGGTTCTTGTTTTAAGGTTGCTGCAAGGGTTACTATTGTGGGTTTAGGGGCTTACTTAGACTTTAGAGTTTAGGGGTTTAGGTGCAGAGGATTTAGGGCCTTAGAGGCTCAGGATTTGGGGTTCAGGGGTTTGGGGGTTGAGGGGTTTAGGGGGAAAGCTTGGAAGCAAGAACACATGATCTTCTAAAGATCTAAGCCGCTTCGAGCCCTGAGGAGGGCTGACATCAAGGTGAGCAGCCTGAGCCCAAATCCCTATACCCATCCTAAACCTAAACTCTGAACCCCACTTGGAGGATCATGGGACTTAGTAAGTAAGGTTATAAATAAGGTAACTGTACTTTTAACTCCAATTAGGGTACTTATAACCTTACTTACTACGTCCCATGATCCTCCAACCAAACCCTAAACCCTAAACTCGCGCGATCCAAGAAGACTCTGCGGGCCTGAAGAACAAGAATCGTGCTTGGGTGCATATTGCAGCATATCTCACCCTAACACTACTTTGTTGTAGGACCCGAAGCCCCCTACCAACGTCTACATCAGCAAGAAGCTTGGAAATCCCCCCAAAGCCTGGACCTTAAACCCCTACAAACCCTGAATTTAAACCCCGCAACCTTAAACCCTTAACCCTAGTACTAAACCACTATAAACCCGAAACCCTGAACCCCTTAACCCTAAAGGCCACCTAAGACCTAAACCCATGGCCAGGCAGGGCACACAGTCGACGTTCGGCCCACAAGAGACATGGGCGTTGCAGGAAGCATGCTCCATAGACATGCCTGGGCTCTTCTTGGACTTTGGCCTAGAGTTTAGGGATTCAGGTGTAGGGTTTAGGGTTTAGAGCTCCGTAGACATGCCAGGGCTCTTCTTGGAAAGCCTTGCGCAGGTCTGACTCTTGCTCATTCCAAACTAAGACTGTTCTAATTTAATTCTGCAATTCAATGAGTTCGCCCCTTCGCAAGAATCTACTACCCTAAGGCCCCATAGCAGTTCCTTTTTGTGGTTCATATTTAGAATCTTGTGAGGCAGTCCCCAAAACGAACTACTACGGGGCCTCTGGGTAGACTGAAATTAAGCCTTCTCCTCAAGAGCGCGGCCAAAGATGCCAATTGGTGGCTTGCCGCACTCATTGGCCTGCGCTTAGAGCGGCGGCTCGTGACTTCAGCCAGGGGATTGGATCAAAACGGTAGAGCAATGCTTCGACCTTTCAAACCTTTGGAAGATGATGGCCATTTTTAAAAACTACTATGAACTAAACTGAAGGATAAACAGCTTCTTCCGGATTTCAGAACGGAAACCCTCAACCCAACCTCTCTATCTTATGGAGCACGGCCCTCGACGCTCTCAGCGCAGGACTGCGGGTGCCTGGCGGCGGAGCTTTCGTGAGCGCCAAGTGATGCCGCCGTCGCAGCTCTTCGTGCAGTCCTAAGGCATCATAGGGACTCTTAACTAAGGGGTGAGGGAGGGTAGGGGGCCCTAGTAGCCCCAAGAAGGACCCCCTGGAAGGTCCCTATAGCGGCATGCATTTGAGAACAGGATACGTGACATCGTTACATTGGCAGTGCAAGCCGAGTGCTTGGCTGTCAACGGCGGTAGGCTCTCCAGGATGTTTGGACCCGAACCGCATCACTGCAGGATGAACTATTCCTGTGCCGCCGATATCTGTCATCGCATAAGATCATATGTTTCTGCGACATTTGTTACCCTAAAACGCTAAAAACCCTAAACCCTAAACCCTAAAACTCTAAAACTCCAAAACCCTAAACCTAAACGTACCAGACCTCAAGGCAGAATTCACCAAAGACCCCCTAGCACCCAGGCACCATCGAAGCCCACGGGAGACTCGGGGGCTGAGGCCCCTGAGTAGCCCGTACAAAGCCCCAGGGCTCCGGTTACCTAAATAGTAGGTTACTTGGGTACCGTTTCAGGCTTAGGGTCTAAACTATATACATAATATATGTTTGTGTATATGGGGGTCAATGTCCTACATATTTCGGTAGGTGAAGCCCGAGGGAAGGCTACCGGGTTTAAGGGCTAGCATGGAAAGCATGGTCCCAGAAAGGCAAAAGGAACAATACTACTTTCTTACCAAGCCCCTCCAAAGGAGCTCTTTTTGCCTGGGCGCCTCCCAGGAAGTCCACTCGCTCCACAATGCATCGATGCAGTCGCCTGAGATGCCGGTCATGCACATGCTTGATCCCCTCGCTACTTTCAGATGTCCCTAACTCCGAAACCCCTAAACCCCAAAGCCCCATATAATAAACCCTAATTGGAAGAATAGATTAGGGCCCTTCGGGATGAGATGCCGGTGGAGCAAGGCTGCGTGTTGCATGGCTCAATCTCCTGTGGCAGGGCACGGGAGCCTTGCAAGCTGCCCATCTGCTACGTGAGATCTGCCGCGGATTGAAAAAGGACCTGTGGTGACTGAAACCCATCTTTCAATCTCATACCCCTGATCGCAAGCTTCGAATCCCGAAGGTGGGCGGGGCTCCTCCTTGTCCACGGCTTTGCATGCCGTGCCTTGCAGATGGGCATGGTTCTTGGGGCTCGGTAGGGCTGCTTGCTCAAGGGGCTGGCTGCATATGGGGCACAAGGCACAAACCCACCCCACCTGATCCCTGCACGTCCTCTCCCTGAAACCAGAACCGCGCTCCATGCCCAACGTCAGAGACTGATATCGTACAGCCACGTGTCATAGAGGGCTTGACCGTGCTCAATCAAGAATGTGATGCCTCCTGGTGAAGGCATCACAGCGATCGTCCTGTCGCGGGTTCGCTGCCCGCCATCGCACTCGCAGGTGCAACCGCTCCTGCGCCGCTCTCTGCTCCACTGCTGCAACAGTCGTGCCCCAGTTTCGCTCCATTCCAACCAGCCGACTAGCGTTTTTGATGAGGGTGATTGGAGGCAGCCTTTCGCAGGACGTGCAGCATGAGTTATTTACTGATGGTTCAGGCGACGAACAACATTGGGATTTCTCCGAGACTGTACCCTTCACCCCGGTACTGCTTCAAAAGTGCCTGCGGCTGCCCTTGCATGCAAAAAGCCGCTGGTAGGTATGTAAGCCCTCACAAACCCAAAGAGGAATCGCCCCCCACTCACCATCGGCTCAAGCTTCAAACCCGAAACCCTAAACCCAAACTGAACTCCCAAACCCTGAACCCGAAAGCCGCTCCAGGATGACCAGTCTGACCACCGGCAATCTGTGGGCCCTGGGCATTCGCCTGGCGGGAGCTTCTCTTCTTTAGGAAATTGGGGTGTTTTGTAAGCACCTTTTTCTATCTGAAGCGGGTTTAGGGTTTAGGGTTGAGGTGACCGGGCAGAGCTCGCAGAAGTAGGTACCGTTTGTAGACTTTAGACCTCAAAATGTGTAATGTTCGTATACTTGGAGCCCTTGCGATGCTGGGATTGCACTTGTTACTCAAAGGGTCCATATATAGAAAAACTTACCAGTATGGATTAGGTCCCAACAGACCATCCCAATTATGGTTTTGGGGACCTAATTCCAGAGGTTGCTGCGCAACAGGAATCTCGCACAGCCTCTGCGTTTCAATGCTTCAATTTGAGCATGAACCTCTCCCCAAGGGGTCCTGTGTACCGACATAGCAGAATGTAGGGTTTCCATATTAGGAATTACTATTATGCCTTAGGGAAGTATCCCCCATAGCAGTACATAGGACGCTTTGGGCTCTAAATCCAAAAACCCTAAACCGCTACTGCGGCGCTCGGCCGATAGCCTCGACCATGCACGCCGCCGTACTCGTCAGTGACGCATTCGCGTTGCTCCTGGTCCGAAACTATATACGATTTGGAGTTTAGGGTAAGTTTTGGGGAAAGAGATTGCCCAAAGTATATTACTATTTGGGTACATGGACCCTTAGGGATGCGGATTAGAGTTTACGGTTTAAGATGTGAAGGCACTGCTCATGAGCGTCTGCGCGAAGGGTAAGCACTACTTGGAGGATCATGGGACTTAGTAAGTAAGGTTATAAGTACCCTAATTGGAGTTATAGGTATATTTGCCTTATTTATACCCCTAGTTACTAAGTCCCATGATCCTCCAAGTACAGACTTCATGAACTCAAGCGATCGTTGCTGCCCAGCGTCGGCAAGGGTGTTTCGGCAGCCGGATCCCCCTTCAGATGGCATCTGTGTGATGTAGCCTGGGTTTAGGGTTTATGGGGGTTTAGGGTTTATAGGGGGTTCAAAGTTTAGGGTTCAGGGGGCACAGTAAAGTTCATTTGCACCATGACTTGGGCAATAAACACCAGGACCTGCCTTGTACCCTCAAGCCCTCACACAGCCGTATTTGGTCCTGAATCATCGGTATTTGGAGTCGGGTGGAGGGTAGAGGGAGTGTCTAGGCAGGATGAATTTTGAAAGGTCGCCGGGGGTTTAATCTCAACAGATTCTTCCTTCCGGTATCAGAACAGCCCGTATGATATTATCATCACCAGTGCTCGGCTTTACTTTGCTGCTGGCACACCTTCTGCCATGGGAAAACTACTGGGTGGAGTCTGACGCGCAGGAGCAACTCGGAACATCATCTCTCCCATCGAAGGCAAGCAGCGGGTGCGCTTTTGCGTTCCTCGGCCACAGGTGGTGCTGCAAGAAGTCCATTCCTCAGCTTCGCAGACGCTTTTCGAAGCACATTGCTGGGGTAGATCGATCCTAGAGCCGAAACCCTAAAACCCTCAACCCTGGGCATCAAAATAGCCCCAAAACGCCTTATACAGTATGGTCTTTAGGCCTAAAAGCCTTATAATATATGAGTCCTTAGATGCGTGGGGTAAACGCTAAGCCCCTTGAGCCTAAACCCCTGTTAAACCCAGGGCTCGTCGACTCTTGGAGATCCGTTAGCAGGGAAAGAACCTGTGATATTGCATTAAGTATGGTGAGGTTGTATTCTGTTATAGGTTTTCTTATGGTGATGCTATAATATAGTACATCTTCTTGCATTGTAGTAAAGTCCGTCTTGTATTATGTTGTAGTATACTATATGTTGCTACATTACAGCTTAATCTAGTATATTAGCCGGTTAGTGGTTATATCATGTGATAGTTGCAGTATAGTAGACCTCACCCAAAGACCCGCCAAAGACCTCAGCCAAGCAGGTCATGTTCTGCCACCAAGATGCCCTCCATTCGCTCACCTGCATCAGAATGCACGACGTCCCTAAACCCTAAACCACTAATCCAAGGGTAAAAGGAGGGACCCTTCATAAGGACCCCTAGGTATATACCCTTGATATAGCTATTATATACCCGTGATATAGCCCATTATAGGGCAAGGGGTCCCCATTAAGGGTCCCTCCTTTTCCCCTTTGGCCTAAACCCCTCGGCCCCTCAACCCTTTTCCGGATAAGAAGCCAGACCTCCGACCCTTAATTTGCTTCTTTCCCTACAAGCGGCGCAATTCTCACAGAAACAAGGTTTAGAGTTTCAGGGTTGAAGGCTTCAGGGTTTCAGGGTTTAGGGTTTCAGGGTTTAAGATTTCAGGGTTTTAGTGTGCTGGTCTCAAGACTTTGCGAAACGCGGCCTTTTCGTGCTGTCAGCCCCCAAATCCCCTCCCCGGACTTGAACCCAAGTCAACTCTAAACCCTAAACCCCTAAACCGTAAACCCAAAACCCCCAAACTGTAGAAACTAAACCCTAAACCCTATAACCCCTAAACCCCAAACCCACAATCCCCTAAGCCCAAGTGAACTGGAGCCAACCTCGCATGCTTGAACCCAAGTGGGAGTTTCCGAAAAAAGGGGACCCTAATATAGTACCCTAAATAATAGGATCCTTACTATAAGTAAGGACCCCCAAATACAGTTTTCCTAACTTTCGGAATTTCGGAAACCCTAAACCCTATAGACCCTCTATAGAACCATATAGATCCCTTTAAAGGAACCCTCAAAGGATCCCTTTAAAGGAACCCCCAATTCATGGGGTACCCCTACTTTTATGTCAACTGGAGCCAACCTCACAGGACTTGGCATCGCAGGGCTCCTCGCCGGAAGGCGAGGAGTTTAGGGATTAGGGGTTTAGGGGTGTAAGGGTTTAGGGTTTAGGGCTTTAGGGTTTAGGGTGTTTGACCACGGGACGCAGTACCAATAACTGCGTAAGAATAAAAGGAATAGGGTTCCCTTGAATGGGCTTCTTAAAGCGATCTCTAGTAGGGTTCCTGTAAAGGGGTCTATAAAGGTTGCTATAAGGAATCTATAGTAGGGTACTATAGTCGAGGCCTTAATAATTAGAATAGGTTCTTGGGGCCCATTATACTGTACTTATACTAAGGAACACCCCAAAATCGAACAGGTAATTATTAAGGCCCCTTATGTAAACTACCTGAAAGGCGCCTCCAGAATCCTTTAAAGGGGTTCTTCCAGGGGTCTATAAGGGATGTATGTAGGGTTCTGAAATATAGGGGCCTTAAGAATTAGAATAGGGTTCCTTAGTTGCTTTAAAAGGGGTCCTTAAAGGGTCTCTGAGGGATCTATAGCACGTAGGGTTCTATAAGATAGGGGCCTTAAGAATTAGAATAGGGTTCCTTTAAAGGGGTCTATAAGGGTTACTAAAAAGGATCTATAAATGAGCATTAGAACAACGTTTAATGCAATACATGCTGACTGTGGAAAATGCTTCCGGAGATAATGCAGGTCACTGCTGCGGTGGTTTTTCTAGGGATGAAGCCAGAACCGTCAACAAGCAAAGCCTTGCAGGACGTCTTGAAGGGGCTTTGGCATTTGGGGGTGCAGCTTTTGTGTTTCACACCGGAACACCAAACTCTAATTTCCACAGAACGTTGCATCAAATCACTGTCACTACAATGGAGAGTTGACCAGAGCCGGTGAACTCAGCGGCTCCTCGTTGCAGCCCCGGATCTCTTCGAGCTCGGGAGGACAGGCCTGACGAGGTTGTCAGTATCACTGCAATTTCCAGAATGGCTGATATCAGTACGAACCCTAACTACGATTGAGCTTACATAGTAATAAGACATAACTATTACTATGCATTTTCTGATTATGATTGCGATGTTTGCTCCGACTATTACTTGCTGATGTTGATGATGCTGCTGCTGCTGATGATGATGATGACGATGATGATGAGGAGCCGGGGGAGACTATTTACAGCGCCATCACCAGAACTAAACTTTATGGCAGCTGCCGGGATGTTGACAGGCCTTGCCTGGCCACCGTTGCGAGGATTCCGCGTGATGTGCCGTCCACGCATCCTCCGAGGCTGGCAGTGCTTAGCTTAGTTACTGTAAGGCCCCTATACTATAGAACACTTTAGACCCCCTTTAAAAGGAACCCTATTCTAATTCTTAAGGCCCCTGATCCCGAGGTCGGAGGGTTCAGGGATTGAGGTTTAGGGTGCCCTGAGGGTTCATGTGCCCAAATAGTTTATACTTTGTAGGTATTTGGGTGCTAAAGTATATACTCATCGGCAGCTGGACCCTTAAGGGTATTACAGAGTGCCGGTGGGAATGTGATTACAGGAATCACATACTACAACATGATACGGAACCCACAAAACAGTATTGGTAGTTAATTAGGCCCCTATATTACTAGTGATCGCGACTCGCTTGCATCCGAGCGGCTGCTGGCCACCATCGCAGGGGCGATCGCAGGAGCCTCGCACAGAGCAAAACAACCTTTGGAAACGGGGCACACCTTATAATAACCCTTACCACCTAAACCCTATGGTAACCCTGGTAGCAGCCACAAGGTGGAGCAAACAACCCACGACCTCAGTCCGAGATCTACTATTCATCAAACAGTGCAAAGCCCTTCAAGTTCAAGCTCGAATCGAAAGCCTTCAACCCGCCCAAGCCTAAACCGTATAACACTTCAGCCCTAAACCCTAAAGCCCTTAATCTTCAAGCCTCATCCTACATCCCGAGACAGAAAGCTCTCTGAAAGCAGGAACTCAGGCCACCCCAAACCCTAAACCCCTAAACCACACGCCCCTAAACCCCTAAACCCACAAACACCTAAAACCCTAATCCACAAACCCCTAAACCCCTAACCCCTGAAACCCCAAACCCCTCAACCCGAAATCAGGAGCCCAGGGCACTCCAAGAGCTCCATGTGGTGATCTGGCAATCCGTGACACCCTGGCAAAGCCTTGGCTTCGAGACGAAAGGCCCAGACCGCAGGCTTCCTTTAAACGGGCTCCAAAAGGGTTTAGGGTTTAGGGTTTCCCCTAAACCCTAAAGCCCTAAACCCTAAACCCCCTAAACCCCTAAACCCCTGAAGCCTAAAGCCTAAAGCCAAAAGAGCTCCTGTGAGGATTCCTTGCAAAGCGCTTTCTCAGGCTTCCTTTGAACGGGCTCGGCTCCTTTAACGGAGCTCTATCAGGGTTCTTTTAGTGGTCCTATTCAGCGTTCTATACCCCGACGTTCCAATATGCCACAATTTAAGGGATATAACTATATATATATATATATATATATATACATACACGCACATGCATATCCCTGAAGTTATAGAGGATCCCGAATCTGGTCTGGTGGGCTTGGGTGGCCTGGATTTAGGGAACAGTAATGTCAAGGGGGGTTAAGGACCCCGACCTTTTTTTGGAGATCTGTAAAGAAGCCAAAACAAGACACCCTCACGCCGCAGGTTTTTTTCGGGGCGACCAAATCCTTATAACCGCCCTGATAGTAACCCTTATACGCTCCTTTACAGGAACCCCCCAAAATGGTAAATGTAATCCGGTCTACCTGGCGGTTCAGGGAATCCCTGCCCACATCCCAGAGTCCTCCTCGCCAGATCTCGAAAGCAACTAAGCACTCAGGTCTCAGATCTCTAGGTCCGAGTCCAACAGGGTTTAGGGGTTTAGGGTTTAGGGCCGTCAATGAAAGCCATCAGGCCAAAATCCTGAAGGGATAGCTTCAGCCCGGTTCACGAAATACTAGAAGGGGCTTAGTAACAAGAATAAGGTGCTGGGGTGTACTTATGTTGGGGACTGCGGAGGGATACTACTGCTGGTTCATAAACCGTTGTCGACCCTCTAAGATACCCACATAAAATGACACAGAAACCCTGCAAAACCCTTCAAAATCCTACAGAACCACTCAGTGAGGTCCCTAAACCCCAGTCCCGAAACCCTAAAGCCCCTTATCCCTTATCCCCAAGCCCCAAACCCCAAGACACACATCTTTAGCCACGCGGCTTGACATCCTCGAGCTCGCCAGTGCAGGCGAGGCCTGAGCCTGTCAGTTTAAAGGGTTTTGACGAAGATTTCGAAGAAATCGTAGTAATAAGAGCAATAATAGTAGTGCCAGTAGTAATAGTAATACTCGTCCTTGAGGGTCCATAGAAGTACTAGAGCAATAATAGTGATGCTAGTAGTAATAGTGATACTAGTAACTAGGGGTCCTTAAGGATAATAAAAGTAAGTAATCATAGTTGTGCTAGTAATAGTACTCGTAATAGTAAGGGGTTTCGGAACGGGTTTAGGGTTTAGGCTTTCGCGTTTAGGAGTGTAGGGGTCCTTAAGGGTTTCAACAGGGTTATGTAAGGGGGTCTATAAGGGGTTAGACTAATGCGAACGAAAGCTTGCGGAAGACTGTCCGGGCGCACCTTGCCAGTTTGAATGATGCTACTTAAAAAGTTGCATATTGTATATCTATATCTATATCTATATATTTGTATATATATATATATATATAGGAACTATCAGGGGATACCATACATAGTTCGTCAGTCCGACCTCTATGGTTGATCGGTTTCACTGGCTTGTTTTAGTGGGCTGGACCTCCGGTCCTTACGCCTGATGACAGTCACAAGAATGAGTCGAATAATGACATTGCAAATTATTACCAGAATATGCCCAAACCTGGAACTGTTGGAACCATCCTTGTATGTCATGTCGACCCCTGATGAACAAACCCCGTGTCTTTCACGGCCCCGATTTGTTGGGATCCTTATCACAATCTTGGGTCTACTAATAAGGGGGCTGCATGAAGAACAAAAAGTGAAAAAGGTTATACGAGAGAGAGAGAGAGAGAGAGAGAGAGAGAGAGAGAGGGATAGAGACCCTAAGCACTAAACTCTTCAACCCTAAACTTTGAACACTATAAACTTTAAATAAATGAGAGATAGAGGGATGGTCTTAAAACCCTAAACTTTGAACACTATAAACTTTAAATAAATGAAAGAGGACCCGGACCCCCTCGTGAAAAACTCGACCCTTCTCTCGGCCTGATGCCTGTGTGGCAATGCGCCGCTTTCGGAAGCAAAGACCTGCCCAAGTCCAAGTGCTGAGGCTCTCGTCATAAGGACCCTTTAGGGGGTAGGGGGCATGAATACCCATAATAAGGACTTGATTTATTAATAAGGCCGGTTTAAGGAAGTATAGTCCCCCCCAAAATTCCCTGTGATCTCGGGTTTGTCAAGAGCTTCGCCTTTAAGCAAAAGGTTAGGGTTTATAGGGCTTGTAGGCTTTGAGGGGTTTATAGGGTTCAGGGGTATCAAAGGTTTATATCGATGGTGCTAAGAGGAGCCCTTTACAAATGAAGTGGCCTCAAGAATAATTAACAAGGAACCCTCTGGAATAACGTTGGAAACTATGCCTGCCTGCCCGAAACTGTGGCCCTAAACCCTCAACCCTAATCTCTTCAACCCCAAAACCCTTGCCTCAATCTTTACAACGCCCTTATTGACCCGTAAAAGAAGCCAAAAAACCCTGCATACCCGAAATCTTCTAAGCCCCTGAGCCGACAACCCTAAACCCATACCTAAACCTAATGCTTGAAAACCTGCCTGGGCCCCCCCGCAACCTTAAATCCTGAACCCTAAACCCAATGTCCGAAAAAACTCAAAAGGCAGCTAAGCTCTTAAAGAAACCCAAAAATCCCAACAATCGAACACCCCCGCAGCCCTTTACCCCTACTAAGCCCCCTAACGCCCAAACGATAAACCAAAGCCCCATTCCCTTCATCCCTGAGGCCCTAAAGGCAAGCCCTAAAGCTTAAACCCTATCATCCCTTTACCCCTAAACCCTAAAGTTCAACCCTTAATCCCTTAATCCCTCAACCCTAAACCCTTAAAGCCCAAACCCTAAACCTTGAACCGTAATCCCCAACACCCTACTTCCTTGACCTCTAGTCCCCATAATCCCTTTACTCCCAAAACCTATGATCCCTTTACAACTAATCCCTATGGTCCCTTTGGCCCTTATCCCTTTGCCACCTCTGTGAGTCCCTGAACCCCGAGAGCCCAAGACCCCTCAATTAAGGAATATACCTGATATCATAAGGGGACTCATATTATGATTTAAGCTATATTCCTTAATTAAGGGGTATGGGGCTCTCTGGGAAGCCGCGAACCTTGCGCGTTCGCAGGCCCCCACGAGCTCCACTGCTCGAGCTCACAGTTGCCTTCAGCGCTTAGGGGGGGTCGTGTTCGGGTCTTTTGCTTGCTCTCGGGCTTTTTGTTATATAAGGGATCTTTTTCAGTGTTTCAGGATTTTGGGCTTTTGGGGGTGTATTGGGGGGCGTGAGGGTTTCGGACTTTATAAGGGTTTAGGGGATTAGAGTTCAACAGGGTTACTGCACACCGAATGGGACTTTCCTAATTTCGTACCCAAAATAGTAAGATCCTTATTATAAGGATCCCAAAATGATGTACCCCTATTTTCAGAAACTCCCGAATCCCTAAACCCTGGCATCTTGAATCCTAAGCCCTGGGATCCTACACCCTACACCTTCAGAGGGTGCAGCAGGGATGCGAAACTTCGACTTGGGGGCTGAGTACCCTAGCCCCAAGAGGGCTAACCTTTTGAGTCATATTAGTCATATTATAAAGAATCAAGAGATTCAAGGATATCTACTCAGCTACGAAGTAGAAGGATTCGGCCCAGCTCCGCCGTGCTTTGCTGACTTCTCCCGGGCCCTCGCAGAGACTACGAGGCTTCAAGAGCTCTCTTGGACTCCAGGCTGCGACTTCAACTAGTAATAACATATCATAACATAACATCTCATAAACCCATATATTACACCGTACGTAGTATAAATATGACATCATTTCATGAATTTAATGATTTTCGGTTATTGTGGTCCTCCCCAACAGATAGTTCCTGAGGTATACTACTAGAATATCATGGGATGCTCTGACTGCATGTTCCATGGTCTCCCGATTTCAGGAACCTGGCTCTGTGAGGCTTCTGGACGTAGCTTTGAGCCCAGCGGCGGTCGCCATAGCTGCCACAGGGCGTCACTGCCTCGCAATCCTCGGCACTTGTGTGTTGAGGGGGGGATAGGGTTTCAGTGATGCTTCGGGTCTGCATGTCAATGGCCATGAGTCCATGTGTGGGATGTCTTAACTCCTCGGCCGGTTATGACTACAAGACCCTGAAGCCTGCGAACTCGCGACATGGCGAGCTTAGCCGTCGCTTGGAATGACAGCAGACTCTTTGTAATCTTCGCTTGTCTGCTATGAACGCTGGAAAACGTGTTTCCGAACTACATCTCAGATTGAAGATAAACAGACTCACGAAAGGACCTTGACAATATGCGGAGGCGTCGGTTGGGGAAGCGAGGCGCGATGGTATCAACATGAAGTCTAACCCAGAGGGTCCAGATATACTACCAATATGGAATTAGGTCCCCAAAACCAGAACAAGGACCTAATTCCATAATGGCAGTATATCTGGACCTCGGTAAGTCTGCCTTTGGTGCATCCGGGCAACTTCCAGCTCAGCCAGTGCTCCATGGCATGGAACACCGACACCTGCTGGGTGATCGAACAGAAGTAGTAAGGGTTTAGGATCTAGGAGTTAGGTTTTTGTTTATATGCGAGCTGCCACATAAACGAGTGGGAGGATCGTCAGGCTACTTGCCTGACGACACGACACTTGAAAGTTACTTAGATCCGACACATTCAGTGCCACATGCACCCACGGAGCACTGCCTTCGTGGAAACTGACTACGTGTCCCGGGAAAGGGCCACCGCGCATTCATCTGTCTCCCAGAACAGCACATCAAGTTCCCATCAATGAACCTAAGGGTCCATGTGCCGAACTAGTATGCACATTGGCCCCTAAAGTAGTCCCTATATAGGTACATTGGGGCCCAATCCATGGACTCCAGATCCCCTAAATTAAGAAATATGTACCTCAAACTATGATTTAGCATCCCTACTTATATGATTGAACGTATATTCCTTAAGTCTGGGGCTTTCCAGGCTCTGACAAGCCCAGAACCCTCGTTCCGATGTGAAATCTCCCAAAGTCTCAATCCGGCCTCGTTTGTGCTGCAGGATGCGACGCTCACGTCTATGGAGTCCTGGCGACCGTATATACTGTAGGGTTCTGGGGGGGGGCGCTCCTAAATATAATTTCAGTATACTATCCCCCCAAAACCCTATTCTGATTATTAAGGCCCGTATACTACGGAACCCTAATATAGAGAGCCCTTACCCCTTCAAAGGGAACCTTATTTTAATAAACGGGTAGACGATGGGAGGCCGTGTGCCTCGAGAACTCTAAGCGGCCACTCGAACAACTCTGCTGAAGGAACTGTCACCCTGCGGGGGTTTAGGGTTTTAGGGTTTAGGGGTTTGGGGTTTAAAGTTTAGGGTTTAGGCCCAGAAAGCCTCGATGTCATGGTGTCATCAGTCTTGTGTCCATGGGCCGGAAGATGTGCATAAGCTCTTTTCTTTGAGAACCTTAATCTTAGGATCCGTGATATAGTCCCAATACAGGCAAAGGAAAGCATTTATTCAGTCGGCTTTTCCCCCACAGCTCGGATCCTTATGTTGATTGCATTCTCCCAAAAAAGGGTTTAAGGCCCTATAGACTCAGGGTTGAGGGTTAAGGGTGTCTGAAGAGCTCCTCGGCCACAGGTCGTGCTGCAACCTGACCATTCCTGACCAGAGAGGAAAGATTCACTGGGTTTAGGGTTTAATTCCAATGTCTCCGAACATAGAACGCAACTGATCGCCTTGGGGCCTTATAGGGTTCGTGACGAGGCCCCAAAGCATGAGAAAGAGCCTTCTCTTGCAGGATACCTAGTGGTAGGGTTGAGAATCATGGCTTGAGGCCTAGGTTTAAAGCAGAATTTGGACTCAAGGCTTGAACTGAAGACTTACGGGGCTCACGTGAGTCCTTTGTTGGATGACCGGTGGCGCAATGTAGCACGTGTCCATCACATGGCATCGTCGAAGTGAGACATGGGGCATCACAGTTTACATAACCCCTAAACCCAAAACCCTGAAACCTAAACCCAAATCCACTGAACCCAAAGCCACGAAACTTTAAACCCCTAAACCACTAAACCCAATACCCTGAACTCTCAACCCTCACATGATAGTCCCTCGTAGTAACCGTTTATAGCATCCCTTTACAGGAACCGTTCGTTATAGTAACTCTTTTAGTAGTAACCCTCATAGAAATCCTACACCCCAAACCCCTAAACCCTGAACCCCAAGCCCTAAACAGTACCCTTACAGATCCCTCAAAGACCCCTTAAAGCTCTAAATCGTAGCCCCTTATAGATCCCTTAAAGGAGATAAAACAAACCTTAGCCCGGAGGCCTCCCACATACCCATCTCGCAGTCGACGTCCTTCGATGGCCCGTAGCATGCCTGGGCCGGGCTAGGGCTCAGGCTTTAGGCTTTGGGCTATAGGGCTTAGGATTTAGGGTTTACGGTGTAGGGTAGGGTTTGTATTGTTCGAACATTTCTTCATCCTGCTGCCTGAAAGTCGCTAAGGCATGAAGCCACATGCGGTCAAACAAGCAGTCACTGAGAAGGAAACCATAAACCCTAAATCCTAAAACCCTAAACCGGACTGCAGAACGTGGGATCTCCTGTGGATGAATGAGTTGCAACGAGACCTTGGGCTCGGATTCTCGAAGCCTACAGAGCCTCATTGGGAGTTTTCGAAAATTTCGGGGGGTACCTTGGGGTTCCTTAAAAAGGTTACTAGAAGGGTACTATAAGGGTTCCTTTAAAGGGCTCTTCAAGGGTTTAGAGTCTCCGAAAATAGGGGTACCTGATTTTGGGGTCCTTAAAATAAGGATCTTAAAAGTATATTAGGATCCCCTATATTCAGAAACTCCCTCATAGAAACATTAAGCAGGCCTGTAAAACTCTGTAAGCTCCTCATGGAAAGCTCAGAAAGCCCTACAGAAACCCGTATAGAAACCCACATCAAATCAGCAAATCCAGCACAAACCCCGTATCAAACCGGCATCATAGCTCCAAAACCCCTTAATTAAGGAATATACCTTAAGTAGGGATCCTATTATAATTTAAGGTATATTCCTTAGTTAAGGGCCCCTGAATCCGGAACTCGCATACACCGAGAGCCGAGTCGCTGTTGTCTCCTCAGTAGGCCCCGTGCAGGGCTGACCTCCATAGGGAATCTTGGTGCTTCTTCGAGTCATGGGCGTTTAAAGGGGTGTATCGTTTTCTGGAGGGTCAGAATGCATATGTTGCTTTATAGGTATTCTTAAAATCGGGCATACGGCCTAGAGTTCCCTGACAGTCTTGACATGAACAGAAAACGTGCAGTGTAGCGCGCGGTGTAGTAAGGGACCTGAATTCTCAGAGATCCTCACTCGGCTGGAACGGAAGAGCAACGGAGATTTGGAGCCTCCATTGACAGCAACCTGTGCGATGACTCGCTCCCGCCGTTTTTGTCCGCCATCGCCTGGCACAAGGCTCTGCGACATAACTCGAGGCTGAGATTGTTAGGGTTTAGGGTGTAGGAAAGTTTGAACCCTAAACTCTAAACCCCAAACCCTACCTGATGTCAACATGGGCAAGCATCACAGCTTCGTCGCAGGCGGGATCTTGACCGACGGAAGGTGGTTTTGAAGGCCCCGCTCACCACATGACCCTGTTCAACCACATCTTTGAACATCATCACCACAGCCATGCGCGCTGATGAACAAAAGCTTGAAAGCTGACCTGTGGAAATGCCCCTGTCTTGTGACCAGGGCTTAATCACAATATATCATATCAGATCATAGTCATAAGGCTTGTAAGTCTGTAACCGGAAATCCTCAAATGACTTCACTTCCGACAGTCTCTCGCGGGCGGCGGCCTGTGCAGCTCGCCTCGTCCCATTCCGTCCAGGCGGCGAAGGAACAACACTCCGGCCTCTCACAGTCCTCCAGGGTTGGGAGTTTAGGGGTCCGTCCGCCCGGCTGGCGGAAAGTAGAGGACCGGATTGCAGAGTGCGGGATTTGTGCCATGAGGATCAGCTGCATGCTCGGCCGGTCCTATCCCGAACTCGCAACCTGTAGTATACAGCAAACTCAAGCTAGACTCTTCCTTCTTCGTCATGCGTGGCATCCCCTTCTTGGCGGATCAGGGGACTTAGTAAGTAGGCTCATAAGTACCCCAACTAGAGTTACAGGTAATTATAAGTATAGTTACCTTATCTATAACCCCAGTTACTAAGTCCCATGATCCTCCAAGTACTGCTCCCAAGTTTGCAAGGCTCCGGTGCCATGCCAGGCTCCAAACTCGAAACAGTCTATGATGCCTCCGCCGGCATCCTTTACCCAATGTAGGGTGTAGGGTTCCTTTAAAGGGTTCCTTAAAGGGGTCCATAGTGGGGTTCTATAATATAGGGGCCTTAATCATTAGAATAGGGTTTTGGGGTATATTATACTTTAAGTATAATAACGAACTACCCCCAAAACTTAGCCAGCCATCCGTCCACCCGCGGTTTTCATCCCTTCTGCCTTGTGGCAATGCTTCGTCATGACCAAAGGTCCGTCGCAGGCCAGGCCACCACATTTATTCATCCTTGACGGCAGTACACGATGCCATGAACAATCCTTTCGCCTAAAGCCTCCTGGAGAATATGCATGTCTGGCAGGCGGCAGCACAAACAGCTTCAGATCCGAATCCGAGGCTGCAACTCTTACATAGCGATATGCGCGAGTCCCTTGTGTGGCCAGGTAGCGTCGAGATCACGCGATGCCTCTCGCACAGCTGCGTGCAGCTGGCGGCACCCCACCTCAATGGACACCAACACAGGCTCTTCGAATCACTGTGGGCTTGTGTAATGCAGGGGCCTTAATGATTAGAACAGGGTCTCGGAGTACATTATACTATAAATATAAGAGATCCTAAGAATAATATAGGTAACCATTTAGGGCCCTATGCTATCAGCTCTGGCTAGAAGTTGCTGTGGAAGTCCTAGCCTCAATCCTGAGGGCATGGCCATTTAGGCGTACCGAAGCGTACTACATCATAAGGGTTCCCTCTAAAGGCTACCTTAAAGGGGTCTATAAGGGACCTATAGTAGGGTTCTACAATGTAGGGGCCTGAGTAATTAGAATAGGATTTGGGGGTATACTATACTATAGTGATAACAAGGAAGCCGCAAAAGAGAGGTGGTAATTATTTAGGCCACTACAGCATGTAGGGGGCGGGAGGGTTCACACCAGAGCCGTACGGCCTTCAAGGCTCTGTTTCTAATTCAAGGTGTTCTTCCTGAATTGAAGAGCAACTAAGTCCAAGTTCAAATTAAACATTCCCGAAGAATCCTAAGTACCTATAGTAGTAGAAAGCGAAGCTATTTCAATGAAATACTACTATCGATTGGGTAATATAGGGGCCTTAGAAATTAGAATAGGGTTCTGGGGCCCACTATACTACTACAATTATAATACGGAGTATAGCTAATTACCATGGCCCCATTATAGATCCCTTACAGTATCGCTTATAGACCCGTCTAAAGGAACCATAAACAAGAGCCTTTGGGATTTGGCTATGCCCCCCTTAGAACCATAATAAACATAATATGAACCCTAAACAAGAGCCTTTGGTATTTGGCTATACCACCCTTAGAACCAAAAAAACATAATATTTTTAAAATTTTCCTGGGTCTAAAATGAACAAAATTAAAAAACAATCTAAGGAGACTGTAGTTAACCCTGTTGGGAGTGCCGTGGTCTCTGAAGGGGCGAGCTGCTCGGACCACTTCCCGAAGACGCAGTCTTCCGGCTCGCAGGTCTCACAGCTCTTGAAAGGGCATTCCTGGGGAGCAGGGTGTAGGGTTTAGAGGGTTGGGGTTTAGGGTTTAGGGTCTAAGGTTTGGGGCCAAGGTTTAGGGTTTGGGGTTTAGGGGTTTCAGGGTTAGAATAGGGGCATATGGTCCTCAGGGCGATCCCAGAAGCCGAAAGAGCCCTACAGAGGCCTTAATTCTTCGAGCATTAACCTATGTAATAAGGAACTCCGAAAGAGTATCCCGGATCCTTCAAAAGTAACCGCGAGTTTTGTGGGGGCAGTTAAAACGAAAGTCTGCGGCCATGGGAAGTCGCCAAGGGGCAAGGACATCCACCTGCTGGCCGGAGCAGGGAAGCGTCTTCTGGGCCATGAAGAAGGTGCCGGAGTTCCTCCCAGAGAGCCCAATACCCCTCAGCTAAGGAATATACCTTAAACCTAGGGACCTAGGGTTCCTTAAAGGGCTCCTTGAAGGGATCTTTGAAGGAATATAGCTTAAACCATACTATGAACTCCCTTATAGTTTAAGGTATATTAAGGGGGCTCTCTGGGGTGCACATCCCACATACTTGCCTGGGCGGGTTCAATTCTGGGTTAGCTGCTCGCTTTCGGGGCTGATTTGTGGAGGCATCGCAGTACATGCCTTTACAAACTCTAAACTTCTAAACTATACCACCCTTAGAACTATAACAAAAATATGTGTGTTATTGAATTTCTCTTGGGTTTTATATGAACAAAGATAAAACAAATAATTCCTAAAGGGACTATAGTAAACCCTATAAGCCCTAAAGCCTCAACTGTCAACCCCAGAGCCCTCGAGCCTAAGCCCGAAACGCCCAAATACACCCTTTTAAACTCCAAACCCCTAAACTCTAAAACCCCAAACCCCTAAACAAATATACACCCTAAACCCCTAAACCCTTATAAACCCTAAACCCCTGCAAGAGGGAAGCCTGGGCGCTTGTGACCCAGAGACTGAAAAATCCCAAACCCCCTGATTAAGGTAGGTATATATATATATATATACACATATGTATATGTATATATATATATATATATACACAGGAATGGACCTTAAATGGGTTTATTAAAAGGTTTCTACAGGGGGAATATAGATTGGATCAGACTACGGGTCCTATTCAAACCTAAGATATGTTGATTAGTTAAGGGGTTTTGAAGTCTCTGGAAAGTCTTCTTCTGCATGGCTGCGTGGGCTCCCTTCGGCCTCTGGGAACCCAAAGCTGCTCTTAACCTTTAAGCCTCAAACCCTAAGGGAGCTCTGCGCCTAAGCCTTAAATCCTCTTCCGTACACGCTAAACCCCTCAAAACCCAAACCACCGGAAACCAAGCTTCTATAGTCTCCTCATGCCTTTAGGGTAAAGTATAAGGGATCCTAGCACGAATCCTCCTAAGCCATGTTCTAACTTCTGGGATTCGCTGCAGGTCATCAGTCCTGCTCCAACACCTCCAGCCCATGGCTCTGTTGGAGCTCTCGACGGGACCTGCAAGGGCCATGATGGGCCTTTACCGTACTACACCTTACTAAACTATGCAACTCTTTGCTAGAGTACTATGATTTGATATATACTAAAGCAATCTATGGGCCAATATAATGTACGATACTATTAGAGAGTTAACACCCTATCATATGCAGTGACGACTTTTAGACGACATGCGGAATCTTAAATACCAAGACAAATGTTTTATGCTACCTGCGTGGCCGTCGGGCTCGGGCCGCCAAGTCTGTTTACGAACTAAACATGCGGAACATCTTAACTCTCTTCTTCGACAACCGGGCCCCCAAAAGTTCAACCTTTCTAAGATAGAGTTCAAAGTTCCCCCGTTCACTATCTAAGTTAAGCAGAAGCTTTATACCACCTCCGTGGCCTTGGCGGTCCGGCCGCCCTCCGCTCATTCAAAAGACTTCGCCGTTTCAATATGCTATGAGATACTAGAATAAATATGCTATACTGTACTTTACTATAATATACTATAATATACTAAAATATACTAAAATATACTATAATATAAGCAGTACAATTAAATTACTGTACGGGAAGCCCATCCCCCTCTTGGAGCGCCTGTGGCGTGCTGGTCATGGTAGGGGTTCTTCAGCAACTCCATGGGCATGGCAAAGGCCTGAAAAAAGGAGGCGGAAACAGCTTGGGGGTTCGGATTTAGGGTTTGGAGTTTAAGGGTTTAGGGTTTAGGGGTTTGGGAATCAGGGGTTTAGGGTTTAGGGTCTGGAGTCTAGGGGTTTGGGGTTTAGGATCTTGGGATTTAGGGGTTTAGGGTTTGGGAGTTTAGGGTTTGGGGTTTAGGATTCTGGAGTTTGAGGTTACATGCCGAAGGAGTTTGCATTGATGCCCCGCGCCTGCATGTCAAGCTCCGCGTGCTCATCGACGAGGATGTCACAAATGTGCATCGCTTCGCCGTACCTCGGATCTTTGTCAGCATCTTACATCGAAGTAGGGGGTCCCAATGTCACTGTCAGAATTGTTCGGCATGTCCTGGTCATTTTGGGCATCAGGTCACAGGTGAAAGTAAAGGGTCACATTCGCTATCAAGCTGGCTCAACACTCATGGTGTCGGATAAAGTTTCTGGACATCTCCAACCACATCCAGAAAAGCTGCTGTACGCCACGGATGTTGTGACGCTCTTTCGATCTTGACAGGATGTCGGTGCACTGGGCCTGAAGCAGAGTGCCGGTCGTCAGGAATTAATGTACAAACCGTGCAAATCGGCTGGCAAGGATAACCGTGCAATGCAGGGGCCTGCATAACTAGAACTGACCTCTAAGGAGGTAGACCCTTCAAAAACAAATTTTAAAAACACCGTTCAAGGAACATAAATGGAACCCTTAAAGGAACCCTTCAAGGAACCAGTTAAAGGCTTTGCTTTGCGTCCCTTCAAGACGACTCGGGGGCCTCTGTGGACATGGTCTTGATGCGGTAGGCCTTGTAGCGGAGCTTCTGGTCCTGAGAAATTGGGCACATCGACCCCCCAACACCCCCAAATCCTAAACCCCAAACCCTAAACCCTCAAGCCCAGGATAAATAGAACTTGTTTAGTTTCGAAGGGCAGAAGCAAAAGGCGAAACTCGGTCAAAACCGGCCCAAAACTCCGGACCCAAACCCTAAACAATTTCTATAAACACTAAAACCTAAACCCCTAAACCCCTGAAACCTCGAACCCTAAACCCCTCAACCCAAGGCTTCCACGAAACCAGGACTAGCACCCCGAAGACTCACCCACCTCACAGAGGAAGGGCATGGTTCTGGCGGCTCGTGCAGATTTCGCAGTGTCTCAGACGACTCTTGTGCAGTTCTCAATCAATGCATATTGATGGACTTTGAGGTAACCAGGGAGAAAAAAGTATAGACTTGTTTTTCATAATGGTTCCTTTAAGGCGCAGGTACCAAATACAGTATTCAAGTATGGTACTCCAAACCCTGGTAATTATATATATATATATATATATATATATATATATATAATATACACCTTACACCTCCATTGACATACACATGTCAATACACACACACACACACAGAAGAGCAGAGCGCCGTTAAAGGACTCGCCCAGTTGGCAGCCGTCAGCCCTGAGGTTCCGCCGAGAGACATTCCAGCACTTCCCGACGCCCACGAGCTCGCTCTTCGCAGGCGGCTCCTGCAGTTTGCCGGGCTTTCTTTAATCGACCGATTTCAGGACTCTGAAATGGCTCTCTTTCAAGCGGACCAGGTTTGACAGTGCCAACCACCCCGAGCCCGAACAACATCCGAAGAAACCCCAATGGAAACTCTAACAGGAACCCTCAAACCCCAGGCGGCTCGACAGACGCTTGAAAACTGACTTGCCTCGTTCAGGAATACGAGCGAGCGCTGTCGCATCATCGTTGCCGTGCCTTGGCTCCCTCGAATACCACAATGATCTTCTTGACCCTAAACAGTAGACCAGAAAACCCTAAATGTAATGCAGGGGCCTTGAGAATTAGAATAATTAGGGTTTTGGGGGTTCCCTAATTATAGTGGTAGTATAATATCCTCCAAAACCCTTTTCTGATTTTTAAGGCCCCCTATACTATGGAGCTCTACTATTCTGCCCTTTGAGGAACTCTTTGAAGGAACCCGCTTCTCCGTTTAAAGCCCAAGCCTAGTGAAGCCGAAGGTGCCACAGGTCGCGCTGCAGGCCGCCAAGGACGACCAAGAGCCCCAACTGCAGAAGCCATCCTCCTGGAGGGAGTAAGTAGGGTTTATATACCAGGACCCTCCTTGTACCCTCAAATAGGGGTATATGGTCCCAAATAAGGGGCATTTAGGGTCTAATGGAGGGTAGATGGAGGGTCTAGGTAGGGTTTAAGGCTTTGAAGCTTTTTTTTGCTTGAGATTTGAAGGTTTAGGGTTTAGGGCTCAGGGAATTTAGGGTATTTCCGGTTTAGGGCTTTTAGGGTGAGGATTTTGGGTTTAGGGTTCAGGGTTGAAGACGCAGGGTTTAAGGTTTAGGCTTGAGGGTTCAGGGTGAGGGTTCAGGGTTGTCGGGTATCTCATTCGTTAACAGCTGCGTCTTGCTTTCTGCCTCGACCAGTCTAGTACGCCTTGCAGTACTGTACCTCCCCAAACAGTATCCTTGTAGTACCCCTTACAACAGCCTAGTTGAAAAAAAAAGTGACTCTACCAACCCTCCAGACCCTGCATAGTATCTTTAACCAGCCCTCATAGCAACCTTATCTTACAATTTCAAGGGAACTACAAAAACTCAAAAGCAAGCCACCCCTAAACCCTAAATCCTAAACCCCCAAACCCTCCCAAGTTGGCCCCTTGTTATAGTACCCCTTATAGTATCCTTGACGTACTTGAAAAGGAACCCTAAGAACCCGAAAGAAAGCCCACCTCAAACCCTAAATCCTCCCCTTTCCATCCCTACAAGTACCCAAAACCCTGAACCCTAGACCCTAAATCCCTTTCGGCCTCGCAGTGGCTGGTGCATTTCCCGACCTCCTTGGCGACTCGCGGGTCGCAGAGCTTACCGCACTCCTGGGAATGCCCAGACTGGGAGCTTTTTTGGGGGTTTGGGGTTTGGGGTTTAGGGTTTAGAGCTTCAGGGTTTAGGATTATACAGAGGTCTGGGTTGCCTGCAGCAATCTGAGTGTCACAGACATCAGTTCCGATTACACCATCTACCAATAGAGTGACTATCAGTATACTGGCTATAATCCGTACATCTGTCTCCGTATATGTAGTACACCAAAGTCCTTCAGTTGGCAACAACAAACACCGCTCACACAGATAGATGGCTGGGTAGACATGTGTAGGTTGCATAACGACTTGTTTGTGGCTATATGGTTAAAAAGACTATAACTCACAACCCATTCAGGTTCCCAAACAGCCAGGCGGCGTTTGGCATCTTGAGTACCGCACGTTGTCGATACCGCTGGCCGCCACACTTGGAGCAGTCCTCCGAGATTGGGTTTCATGAAAAAGGCCGTTATACTTAAATAGGGTTTTGGCGTATGACGGCTATGATGCAATCTAAGTGCGACAAGGACACCCTAGGCATACTACCATAATTTCCACACAATTCAAGCGTCGATTCTAGTGGCCCAAAGCCTTATGGTGTTTGGGTTTAGGGTAGGGATGGGGCCGAGGGTTGCCCAAATGTCTTTTCACAGTTTAGGGTCTATGCCGGCAGAGTTCCATGAAACCTCCCCGAATACTGCAGCTCCCCATTTGGGAGTTTCCGAAAATAGGGGACCCTAATGTAGTACCCTAAATAGTAGGATCCTTATTCTAAGGACCCCAAAATAAGGAACCCCCTTATTTTCGGAAACCCTCATTTGCTGCCAAGCAACGCCCCAGTCCGACCATGGGCCCCACTCACCTGGGCACTAGGGTTGTACCTGAAGTCCCCACTGTCATACAGGGACCTTACTAATTTCATCGTTCTTTAAACGGGGTCTGTAAGGGTCATTATAAGGTTGCAGTATCCAGGCTTCAGGATTACAATTACGGCTTAGGGGTAAAGTCATCTGTGCAACATTGTCATGAAGGATCCCTAAGCCCCGAAACCCGAAAGCCCTAAAGCCCTAAACCCCGACCCCCTGAACCCCAACTTGCAGTTCCGTTTCGTGGGATTCATGTGCCAGGTCACAGTCTTTGCAGACACGCTGGACGCAGTCGACAAAGCCACATCCTGCAAAGGCGGTGGATTCGTCCAGGTCTGTACTTTACCACTCCCATTAGTGTTATCATTCTTATTGCTTTATGGTTCATACTATCTAATGTAATATGTGTTTATATTCTTATTCCATGTTACATATGGGCACCAGGTGCCAGCTTCAACAACGGACTGCACAGTATCATTCATTTCAACATGGAGGGCTTTATTAGTTGTTGTGATTATCATTGAGGTTGCTACCGCTATAACTGTTGCTATTTGTGACACGACTACTACTACTACCACTACCGTCACTGTCACTATCGCTATGACTCTGCCTGTGAGTGCTATACTATTACTCTTGTTATTGTTAGTCTTAACAACAAGCTGACTTCAAATTCAGGAGTATAAGGCAATACTCGAACTCAGTCCGACCTCATGGAGTGTCATGTTCTGATGATTCTGGCGCAGAGAGTTCACCCTAAACCCCTGAACCTTATCCCTAAACCTCAAAGCCCTAAACAATTGAACCCCTAAACCCTAAACCTCTAAACACCTAAACCCCTGAACTCCTGAACCTCTAAACTGCGACACCCCTAAACTTCTTAACTCCTAAACCCTTAAACCGCAGAGCCGGCCTTGAATCTGCGCCAGTGGACCGTCGCAAGGGGAGCCATCGTGGGAGTTTGGGGTACGGATGTGTCTGGCACGCTCCTGCAAGTTTGAGGCTTAGGGCTTTAGGGTTTCAGGGTTTAGTTCCTTAGGGTTTGGGGTTCAGAGTTTAGGGTTTATGGCTTCGGGTTTACGCTTTAGCACGCTCCTGCAAGGTCCCTAAAGGATCCCAAGTACCTGTCTGGCAGAAAATAGGGTTCTTGTAGGGTTCCATTAACGGTTTACGGGTTCGTAAAAGTACGTGTATAGAAGCAAGTCGGGTTTCTACGAAAGGAATTCGTATTGTGGTTTGGGCTAGTACACCCCTCTTAGTAGCCTTTGGGACAATCAACTTACCTTTGGTTAGTAGGGAATGGAGGAATGGGCTACAATTATAGCTATTGTTACTACCATTCTTCCATTCCCTACTAACCAAAGGTAAGTAAAGCTTCGCTCGATGTTGGCCTCATGGATCCAATCGCACACGTGCAACATAGGTGCCGCAATTCTTAAGTTTATTAGATTTTGTACTGGGGAGGACCAAATAAAACCTTAATAAGGAACCATGGGGAATTCTATTGAGGTTTAGTTAGATTCTATTAGATACAAACAAAACTGGAAAGGCCCAGTGATCCAGGTGCTCACGCCGCCGTGCATCGGCACGGGCCCGCCTGCATTCCGCCATCGCACGTCGCGCTGCACTCGCCCCACTCACCCCACCTGGGCTTTGGGGTCTAGTCTAGGGCCTACCTAGGGTTTAGGATTTGTAAGGGCTTGTAGGGGGTCGGGTTTAAAATTCAGGGTTTAGGAAGTTTAGGGCTTAGAGGGGCCGCGCAGACACACATCCTAGACCCACCATCTATACCCTCTCCTCCACCCTAAAAATGCATTGTTTGGGATCATATACGGCTACTTGGGGTTACTAGTACCAGGAGGGTCCTGGATACTTCTTCATCTTACTTGGAGGATCGTGGTTCTTAGTAAGTAAGGTTATAAGTACCCTAATTGGAGTCATAAGTATAGCTACCTTATTTATAACTATAACCCTAGTTACTAAGTCCTATGATCCTCCAAGTAGTCTTGTACAACGCTGCCTTGCCATGCTTTTCTCGGCATCGTGCAGAGGTGCACGACACGGTCCCCAGCCCTCGATCCGCAATGAGGAAAACAGACGTCCATCCTGTCTCTGCTGGTCATGGCTTCTCCACCTCATAAACCCTACGTCAAGCACACCCTGCAACCCTAAAGAAGAGCCTTTGCCGGCGGCGGCTTCGTCCGAGTGGCGGGGAGAAGTCACAGGGCCGCTTCGGCAGCGGTCCGCAGTGCGGAGCGGGTACCTCGCCTTGCGCTTGAAGGAGTCTACTGGGTGTTTTGGAACCCCTTTGAACTTCAAAGACGACGAATGCTACCACAATTGTAGTTATCGACCTAACTACCGTATGATACACAAAAGGGAAGGCAGGCCTGAGACCGGATTGCACGCGGAGATCTCCTCGAGAGACGCGAATCCGTCCACAGTCACCAGGCGGCGGGCGGTGTAGCCTCGTGGTTTGAGGTTTATGGCTCAGGGGTTCAGAGTTTGTGCTTCCTGGCTAGAAGGGTGGGTATATCTAGGAGTCACTATGTAACAAAAGCTTCAGTTTAGGGTTTGGAGGCTTCAGGTCTTTCGGAAAATGGCCAGTTTAATTAGGGTGCATGGGGGTTCAGGGTTTTGAGTGATACATTCTACCAGCAAGTTGGGGCGGACACGAGCCGTACTGCGATATGCACCTTTCCTTCGCACTGCAGCAGAAACCCAGATTTGTGAGAACATCTTTCGAGAATTTCCTAGATAAGTCCTAAGTCGTCAGGGTTCAATCCCTAAACCCGAAACCATACAACCCTAAACTGGCTTTCAGGAAATGTAGTCCGCTAAACCCTCGAACCCCTACGGAAGCGTTGAAACACCCCTTATCAGAACCCTATCAGGTCTATAGTCGACAAATTCCCTAACCACATATTCAAACCCGTTCTACTCCTTGATCTGAGCCCAAATCCCCCACATCCTATATTGATGTTCGCCCCGTTCCTACTTCTTATGTACTTCTTAAGCCCAAGCCCTGCTCTGCTTATAAGGGAGTTTCCGAAAAGAGGGAACCCGATCCTTATTATAAGGACCCCCAAATAAGGGAACCCCCCTTGTAGAGCCCTTTAAAGGAACCTTTATACTTATAGAAAATACCCTTTTTGTAACCTTTTTGAGGAGCCCTCAGGTACCCCTAATTTTCGGAAACTCAAAACCCTAAACCCTTTATAGAACCCTTATAGATCCCTTTAAGGAACCCTTAAAAGATCCCTGTAAAGTAACCCCCGAGTTCCCAAGCCCCCCTGTTGCCAAGAAGGCGCCCATCATCTCGTCCTCTCGAGGCACCCAACGAGCGGCCTCGGGTCTGCGTATCTTCTCATAGGGATCCTTAGGGGTGTAGGGGGGAGGGGTGTAGGGGACTATATTTCCTTGAATAGGTCTTATTAGTCCTTATTATGGGCCTTAAGGCCCCCTACCCCCCCTCCCCCTAAGGATCCCTATGACTGTCTCCCCAGAGAGCCCAATACCCCTTAATTAAGGAATATAGCGTACATCATAACATGAGGCCCCTTATAATTCAAGGTATATTGCTTTATGGCTCTGGGTCTGCTTATCGGGGCCTCAATCCCAGCGACTCCAAAACCCCTTAATCCAGGAATATACCTTAAATCAGATTGCGGATCCTGTTAGGTTTTTAAGGTGTGATCCTTAGTTAAGGTGTTTTGGAGTCTCCGGAATAAACATCATAACTCTCAGCATAACAGTAATCAGAAGAAGAATCACAATCATGCGAGTCATAATCTGAATCATATACGAAAGGTCATGCTCATAATCATGGCCGTAGTGGTCTGACATGACAATATATGACAGGTATGAATATGTGGTTAAACCAACAACAATCGCGTGCATATGTGACCCATAGAGCACCAGGTGGCTGGGTCCTCATGTAGGGCACCCAAAGTATTTGAGCAGGCAAGAGAAGCAGTGTACGCCCTAACCCCGAAATCCAAGATCCTGAACCCCTAATACGCACCTAAACCTCAAACCTCAAAATCCTTAAATCCCAAAACTCGAGTTCTGAGGCGCTACACCCAAAAGGAATATGTCGATGTGGCTCTGGCTCCCACAGCCCCTGGAGCTGCTGTCTCTCCATACTCCTATTCGCAAGCGGAAGACAGCTACAATAACCCCTGTCGTATGACAACAGCTTAAAGTCTTAGGATTTGGGATGCTTTGGCTTGCGGTTTAGGGCATGACAATCATTACTTCTCATAAATACTGCCACAGTCTTGTAATTCTAGATATTGACTTAATTGGTTGACTGGTGTCGGATGAACAGAAACTCAGCTGGGACTTATGTTAAGCCAAGCTTGCTTCCTCTGAAGCGACGCTGCCGCAGGACTTGCCATCGCCCTTTGCAAACCTGCAGAAGCAGGAGTCAAAACCGCCCGGAAGTCACTTAGAATGCTTTTCAGGTGAGTACCGTTGGGACCGTTCGTTACAAGCATCGGAAAACAAATTAGAACATGGAACACATGCGAAACGAATCCAAATTCGTGGGAAACAAACTTGATGCAAGAAATACATAAGTGTACGTGTGCGCGACTTCTGTCTTCCTCTCTGTTGCGAGGCATCGCTTGGTCGCATTCGTCTCTGCACATGCAGAAACCGGCCTGACCTCAAGATAATATAGGGGCCTCAAAGATTACCTATGCTTTTCTGGGGGTCTAACTTATCCTCAGAGTCTCAGAATCCCGCGGTGTTCAACATGCTTGTGTATGTGTATATACATATGTATATATGTGTATACATGCATATACATATATGTACGCAAAAAAGTGCTAGGCCGCCAGATATGCGATACATGTAGAGCACTGTATCAATGTATTAACATATATATATATATATATGTCTCTTGACTGCTGTATAACTGAAAACGGAACAAGCATATACTACCAGCGTATATCACATTATCGTGTAGCAGCACCTACCATACTCGAACGGCATGGCTGGAAGATCTCCATGCCTGAGGATCCGCCGATGTCTTTCCTTCACGCCAAAACAGTCGCAGCTGCAAGCAGACCTGAGCCGAATGCAAGAGTGCTTCAGAGTATCTGGTTGGCTGTACCTGCACATAGTCAATTAGTGTGTACATATATGTACATATATATATATGTATGTATATGTTATATATATATATATACATATAGACTATATAGATCAGTATCTATATCTCACAGTGCGATCTTCAAACATGCATATATATATATATATATGTATATATTGATTGTGTGCGCAGGCGCATTATGTCTAAGACTATGGCCGAGAAACAGCAAAGGCTTACCTGTCGGTGGGCTACCTCCTTTTGAATTGTAGTGAGGTTCTGGGCGTGGGCGTTACTGCATGTTGTAGCGCTTAGCATCCTACACGCAGACGACGACATCGATAAGAAGTCTGGCGAAATGCAATTGCCGAACTATACTAGCAAGAGAGATTGAAAGCTGACTGGGACGCCTTCAAGTCATTGCAAACTCCATCCGATAAAGAACCCCTCTAATTAGACACCTTCTAGAACCCTGACAATCCCCTCATAGCAGAACCCTCAACCCCTAAACTCCTATAAACCCTCCCTACCTTCAAAGAAGCGGCCTGATGGAACCTTGCAGCCACACACCTACACAGAAAGTAGGCCTCATTGATTACAATACATTATGTTATATGTAAACAAAAATGTATATCCACGCATGTGCTTCTATATGTATATGTGTGTGTGTGAGTCTAGGTCTGGTCCTGGAGCTGAAATAGCAGAAAGGGACCACAACTGCACAGGGCGCTGTCGTAGTAGACCGTTAGCAAGGATTTTTGTGTTCAAGAAACATATGACTCTGCAGAACCTGGTTGAGCAACCCCGGCAACTCCAAACGCCCGAAACGATAAACTCTGGAGCCCCAAAGCTCAAATCGTTGAATTAAGCCCCCACCCCCGAAGGCTCTGTGCCTTCTTAAAAGGACCCTGAACCCTAATTATAAACCCTATAACCTATAACCTTAATCCCTAAGCCTCATGTCTGGCACAGGCACCATTCAGCCCACTCCGCTAGCTCGCAATCCTCCTGAGAAGATCAGGAGGGCTTCTACCCACCTCGTGTTAGATCGTGCAGCGGATCTACATCATGGTAAGTAGAATGGGGTTTTGGTCTTATGTTTTACTTGTAACCATATATGGGTTCCAAAATAAGGTATGTAGAACAGCATCTTGGGGTGTGTTATGCTATACTTATAGTCCTATATATCATGTTCAACAATAAAATAGTTTAGGGTTTCGGGGTCTCCAGATCTCCAACAGGGTTTTAAGATCTTAAGGCATGTTGTATCTATAAGTTACAACAATAGAAGGAACCCCAGGGAATCATATCGGTCATTGTTCGCACTTCCACCTCCCCGGCCGGGGTGTCGGGCTTCGGGATAAGAGGGTTAGTTGTAGCTACTTTGGGGGGATTGCCGTGAATGTTCATTAAGCGTACCGAAGGCACGAGGTATCAGGATGCATGGCCCTGAGGAAAGCATAGAAGCTTGCATGTTGTGGGGCCTGCTTAAATTGAATCTGCGACCACATGCGCTTGGGTCATGAAGATCATTTTGTCGCCAACTGGCTACGTAGGCTTGTCCGGAAATTGTCTGCGTGCCAACCCTTCGATGGCTTATCAGCTCCGCATATGCAAGAACAACCTGTGAACATGCATCCTCGATGTGTTGCGTGCAGGCAGTGCCTACAAACCTAAACACTTCGCCGACCCTGGCCCTTTGCCAAGAGAGCGTCGCTCGGAGTACAGGAGATGACATCGTTGCACATGTGGTACTCGTCCTCAAGGCCTTTGCCAGGGTTTACTTTTGCACCATGTCGGGTAGGTAACCCCCTGCATGCACTGATTGCTGCTTCAACAAAGAGAACTACTTGGTGCAGAACAAGACCGCGGCAGAAGAAGGTTTGTAAGACACGAACGTTTACGCACATGCACGCACGCACCAGTTCTCTCTCTCCCTCTCAGCCGCTCTTGTGCGAGATTGCTGAGAGATACTTTCTATTCTTCGCTGCATCATGCTCTCCAACTCGGGAGCAAAAGGACCAGCATTGGGCTTGTCTGCTCCTGCCCAATACTGAGGGCATACTGTCCCCTCTACGATGCCCTGCGCCATGCCTATGGCAGGCTTCCCGCAAGTGTTCGGCCGCTGCATGACCTGAGATAGTCCGACCACTTTCATTGTAGGCGTTCGTAATGGAAAAGTACAAAGCTAGAATGAATGGTATTAGTCTTCGTGTTTGGGCTTGTACTCGGTGCTGGCTAGTATTATTCGTTGATCTTGCTGTTATCATTGCCTCTTGCTACTTCTGATTAGATCCCAAATCCAACATTGTAGTCGTTGCGGCTGTGGCGACACAAAAGGTACCGCAGTTCTGCATTGCAGGCTCAACCAAGCTGTCCACAGTCAATCTCGGCACAGCCCGTCCGTGAATCTCCGAGTACTTCATTTTATAGTAGCAAGTAGCGTCTCTATAACAAGAATTACTATTCTGGTTTGGGTAAGTGCCTCCCATGAAGGCCCCCCCTGTACATCCCTGAATTAAAGCACCCCCAAAGTCCCCGTAAAGGTGCTTAAGATTCGTGGTTTAGGGCCTTTAGGTTTAGAGTTTAGGCTTTCCTCCCGTGTTGCTGCACATATAGTAGAGATAAGGTTAAAGAGGTGCCGAACAACGACAGGTTTGATATAGGGGATACCACCTGCCTGTCAATCCTTGAATTATGCTCCTATCTGTTACCGTTGACTTCACGCAGGTCCGTAATGAACTGCTAAACAGCGCTGTCTTTCGACAGTGACTTCTCCAAACGCCAATGTTGAGTCTGGAAACGGTATAGAAACAAACTTCGGAATGATGCCTTCACCCTCGTCAGAGCAATTACCGCCAAATGCATCATCGGCACGTCACGATGCCTCACCCGAAAAGCGCCGCCACAGGTAGCCGAGCACTTTGACCATTGGCCCCAAGCGCCCCACAAGCCATCCTTGGTCGCAAACCGGAAGCAAAACTGTCGAAGACGTGACTGCAACCGTTACTCAGGTGTCTCCGGGTGTTCCCTCCGCGAGCAGTGGAAGGCAGCTCATGGGCTCGGGTGCCGTGCCGTCCAAAATCCCTTAATGTTGAGTATGCCTTGTATCATATTCGGTGCCCTGCTGTAACTTCAGGTGTGTTCCTTAATTAAGCAATATTGGAATGTCTGGGTACTTCCGGATCTTGCCCAGTGGCCACGCACTGCCCACAAGCTTGCGTGTTGCAAGCCGCGACCTGCAAACCGAGACTCGCGGCTGCCTACCGTGGAACGTCTTGAAGGAACACATATAGGAACCATTTAGAGGAAGCCTTATAGGAACCTTTTTTTTTTGAATCCATGATAGGAACCTTCTAAAGGAACCCTTCAAAGGGAACAGTTGTAGGAATATTGAACCTCAAACCCTAAAGTTCAAATTGTTCGAGGATTCGTGCGGTGAATAAAGTGTCACGCCCTACCCCTGTCAAGGAATTTTTCACATTTCTACTTACATTCTTTTGGATCCCTTGTACGATTATAACTACATCGAGAAATAGGCCTAACTAGAGTTTCTATACTTGCTAATTAGGCACGTACTCTTAGCAACACCATCCTTTGGGGTTCCTTACTATCAATGTAGTGTAATCGCCGAAAACCCAATCCCTAAAGCCCTGAAGTCGTTCGCAAACGCCAGGCTCCACGTCAGAGCTTTGCCTCGGACTTGTCCAACGCCTCGCAGAGCACACCTCCGTGGCGAGGCGCCTGAAACGGAAGCTGCGAGTTACCTACACATCCCGTTTAACCATGATGAAACTAACATGCTTGTTAATCCTTAGGAACCCCAGGCTCTTGTATTATGATGAAAACTCCTAAGAAACCTACAGTTACACTTAGAGTAAACTTAGTAAACCTTCTAGATCCGTAGTAGCCAGTGTCGGCGGTGTCGTGCAAAACTCCCACGCAACCTAAAGACACCAAACCTGGATCTCTCAGCCCTCAAGGTGGGAAAGATAAGTACTAAGATTCAAAGCTATGAGTAAATCCATATGTCACAGAGGAGTGAATCTAGCAAACATCAAGCTCGGGAAACCACAAGACCGGAGGTGGCGTCAGCTAGCAAACGAACCGGCGGCAAATACATACACCAAACCTGACAGCACTGTAGAAACTTGAACTCCTAAACCTGAAACCATTGTTACTAACGGTTTCGGAAGGGTTAGGGTTCATTTGTAATGGCCTAAAAAGTAAGTAGAATAGGGTCTTGAAAAAATATTGTGTATTCTGGAACGCTGAGAGACAGCATCACTAATCATTCCGACCCTTATGTGCCTTAGAATATATAAAGCCCCTAAACCCCAAGTTTAAACCCTAAGCCCCTAAAGGCTCACCCCCAGCACCTCAAAGCCAACAAGGAGGCCCATCCGCCTGTCCGATGACCCGGCTTCGGCGCTTGGTACCACCGCCACAGGTGCCTAGGTCTGATGAACCCTTGTGTAGAACCCCATAGTACCCCTTAAAGGGAATCCGACTATGGAACCCGAGAGTATTTTCTAGGTTCGGGAGGGTTCAAGGGCCACGGGAACCAAACACCCTAAACACGAAATCCCTAAACCTTCTAAAGGATCCTTTGAGGGCTCCTTTATGGGATTCTTTCAGGGGCCCTTCAAGGGATCCTACAAAGTTCCAAAGTTGTTCGCAACTGAACTCGCCGTGCCCGGTGGCAGCTGCAGGCGCTCCACTGGTCCCACTCTGCCCACCTGATCACAATCAGGGAGCCCTCGAAGGATTCCTCAAAGGATCCCTTAGAAGATCCCTTAGAGGAACCCTTAGAGGATCCCTTAGAGGAGCCCTTAGAGGAACCCTTAAAGGAACCCGTAAAGGAGCCCTTAAAGGATCCCTTAAAGGAACAAAAGGAACCCTTAAGGGTTACTGTAAGGGTTCTACAAGGGATACCATGGCAAGTTCAGGTTTGTTCCCAAAGGCGCTCTATAAGGGATCAATAGGGTTTAGGGGGTTTATGGGTCACAGCCATCAAGAGCTCCTTGAAAAGCATCGTTTAAGGGGTCCTCTAAAGGCATCCCTTAAGGGCTCCTACTATAAGGATCCCCAAAGAGGGTCCTTTCCAGGATCCCTTGAAGGAACCCTTAAGGCCTACTTTTCAGGATCCTATAAGGGCTCCTGTACTCCTGCAAGGGTCCTATAAGGATCACGCCATGACAGGCTTGGGGCGGGGGGGTTTATGGCTTTACTTGGAGGATCATGGGACTTAGCAAGTAAGGTTATAAGTACCCTAACTGGGGCTATAATTATAAGCATAGTTACCGTATCTATAACCCCAATTACTAAGTCCCATGATCCTCCAAGTAGGTGTCTATGGGTTTATGTGTCTAGGGTTTGGTAGGTGTTTAGGGGTTAAGGGTTCAGGGCGTCCCTAGAACAGCACCACAGGCCTGCAAGGAGACCATGTATACTTACAAGCATAGGCGTTTGTGGGGTTGCGGTAGAAGCCAGAAAGTTGGAACATGGCTTTAGGAGGATTAGTGCTAGGATCCCTTATACTTTACCCTACGGGCATGAGGATAATGATGCTCCAACTTTGTGGCTTCTACTGTATGGTTGAAAATCTCCTTTGAACCTGTGGGGAAGTCCCTAGGTTTGGTGTACCGTAGGGTACTATGCCCCGAAACACCCTAAATCCGAAATCCTCTTCTACCATTGGGTTTCAGGCAGCTGACGCAAGCTGCCTCCGAAACTTCCGGTGCTCAACTGAGGAGAACCTCATACATACATAAAAACATACTTGCACACATCCATACATAGAGGTAGATACACAACAACAGATTTTGCAGTAATGTTACGAATACGTTGGTTTATTGATCGTTTATACCATAAACGTCCCATATGGCACTATGTGTATGTGCATTTACATAAACAAATAAACATATATATACATACACACACACACACATGTACACATCGTATTGCTTAGTAGATAATATAAACACCTCCCAGACCCCTCCCGAGAAGGGCCTGCAGTCAACCTCACCGCAATGGCTGGTGACGCAGCCCTTGACCTCCCAGAGGGTTGAGGGGTTTAGGAGTGTGGGGGTACAGAGTTCTAGGGTTTTAGGGGCTTTGGGTTTGGGGTATAGGGCTTTCGGGCTTAGGGGTGTAGGGTTTCATCACATGATTTTGGGATGATCTTGGAATCAGGGCTCCCTTGGAGTGAGGGGGCTTCTTTGCATTGGCAACTCTCGCGGTGGAAGGCTGCAGTTCCAGAGGCAGGGTACGGACTCCTGATCTAGGCTGCTATGATATGACAATAATCATAATGCTTTGAGCATAGTCCCATGCTCGGGTGGCATGCAACCCTTGAATTGTCAAGTCTGACACGTAGAATCCAAAAACCCTGAACCCCAAACCCGGTAGATCCCTGTTAAAGGAACCCTTAAGGATGCCTTTAAAACGAACCGCAGAGAGCCTCCTGAAGCGACATGCCCATGCCGAGGCCACCCGAGCCCTCGCGAAGGATCTTCCTGGAAAGGCGAGAAAGTTCGGTTTGAGGCAGGCTTAATATTAGGGCTTCAGGTCTAGGGTTTGGGGTTTAAGGTTTACAGTTTAAGGGCAGGAACTACCTCCAGGAATCCAACAACCTACCGTTTTAGGGGTTCTACACCCCGTTGTTAAGAAGTCATAACCTACTGTTCTGTAAGGCTTGAAGTTACCGGTACATCCTATGTCCTATGCCTATGGGAAGACCTCCGCTGCCTGGGGCTTCTCCGAACCAACGCCGAAACAATTTAATTAAGGAGTACGCCTCAAATCATATAAGGGATCCTTATGGAACCCCTATAGATCCCTTTAAGGAATTCTTTAAGGTATGTATATATATAATATGTGTGTCGATATATTCTTTACTTAAGGCGTTTTGGAGTCTTATTCTCCGAACCCTCCTGGAGCGCGACGTCGTGCCGAGGCCGCACTTCCTGGAGCACAAGCTCCACTCGGACCTGTATTGAGGGACTTAGAGTTTTGGGGCAGGTGTCAGGTTCTATGTTTCTACGAAGAGACGGTGATTTTTTCCGCTGTTTCTACTACGGCGTTCTTTATTCTTATCATCAGTTTGCAGCAGCAATGCTGTTCTTTGGCGATTAGTGTTTACGAAACTGAATATTGGAATTGTATTTACGCTGGCTTTAGAGGGACTTGATTTTTGGGCTTTGGCGGGTCCTCAGGAAATCTGCGACCCAGCCGCCACTGCGAGAGCTCCGACTGCGAGGTCATGACGCAGTGCTGCTTTCCGCATGCCTGCGTTTCCTTCATGAACCTGAGGGCTGGCACTGCTGACTGGAGAAGGTGAAAAAGGTGCCATAATGACATGATAACACAACCTTCGCAATTTCAACAATGATAATACGGTAAGTACTAATGCTGATGACTATGCTCCTGTGTGATAATGCTCTTCATCTGTATCAATGTCATGGTTTCGAGCTCTCTCAGCAGAGTCGCACGCTGCGGTCGTACCCCAGCCACTGCAGCTTGCAGTCGGCATCGGAGCCTTCCAAATGCACGCAGCCATCCAATAGCGTCGAATAGCTCAAACACTCGCACTTTAAGAATTGTCCTAACTCCCAAGTCCGTGAAGGCCTGAGTAGTAAATTTGATAGGACGCCTTGTATAGAAACCCTACTTACTATACAGATACTTTTGGGCCCGTTGGGACCTAAATCCTCAAACCCTAAACCCCATCAACCCTGAATCCCATAAAGACTTAAGTCCTTAAACTCCAAAACCCTATGAAATGTCAGGTACACCTTTCACAGGAGCCCCTAAAAACCCGAGGAAGCCTGAAGCCCAAAGCCCTGAAACCCTCAGCCCCTATATCCTGAAAACCCTTGCGAAAGCCTGAGTAGTCCATATCGGTTTTAATATAAAACCCTATATCCTATAAACCTTATGAACTACACGAGCTCCCTCAACCCCAAACCGCAAAAGCCAAAGCCCCTAAACCCAGGCTCCCTTCTAAGGCCTGAGTAGTCGATATCTCGACTACGGCTCTGCTGACCTCCGCAACTTCCACTGCCTGGGAGGCACTGATGCAAGAACAAAAAAACATACATCAGCTGGGCCCAAGGTCCCTCAAGGGGATTTAGGGTTTAGGGTGCAGGATTTACGGTCTAGGACGAGATATTTTGGGCCTGCCAGGAGGGTTTAGAGTTGTTTTTGGTTAGGGCAGGGTGTATGTTCTTGAGAAATCAGAAGGTCCGATTTTATCTACAGCTGATGAGCTTTAAAGATGAGCCGAGCCAGGCTTGAAAGGTGCATCTGAAAAACACGCATCTGAGAAAAGCTTGCGAAGTCCGAGGTGCAGGGTGTCCAGAGACTCCACTGGCTCAGTATGCACGACGGCTTCTTGACCTTAGATGAGAAAGAGAGCACTAACAAGATGCCCATCAATGCAACTACATTTCCACGAAGTCACCAGCCGGAGGGTTTCTGACTAGTGACGCTAGGTAGTGAAACGGAGAAGTATCAGTCGCTGCAGTTTCGGATTCACGGGAGGTGGCAGAGTGTTGGCCGGTCCACCGGCGATCTGAGCCTCTCTTCGAAATGCCGCAGCATGCAGTGCCTCCCTAAAGCATAAAACACTGAACCCGAGCGGTTTCAAAGGTCTCTCCGCGGGGTTTCGAGAAATGCGCCCCCAGTGATCGTCAATGTGCCTCCATTCTAGTATAATAACCCAAAGTTCATTAACCGCAGTGTTACACTTCATTATTGCATTTGATATTACCAACCCCCTACAAGAGTAAATACGGACTGTCGAGCTGAGGGTCGTTTTCGCAGGCATCCGTCTCAGCCAAAGCGGTGGCATCTAGCCTGTGAAAGATATCTTATCACTGGGGCATATTAATTAAGGGCTATTGGGCTTTGGTTCACAAGAGTTTGAGTTCAGGGTTTAGGGCAGTTCGGGGTTTAGGGGTCAGTGTAGGGCTTCAGGGTGCAGGTTGCTGGCTTTGCTTCTTCAGGGCTCGGCCGTCCTTCCGTCCTCTGCGCACTTACACACTGAAGCGACGGAGGAACAGCAATGGTAAGCTTTCCTTGAGCACCGATGTCTAGAGTTTGCGGGCACCCAGAGGCCAAGGAACGACCGGATTCACAGTAACGAAGCCACTATTTAGCATGACTATTGTTCGAGATCTTCGATTAGTAGCACAGGGACCAAATGCAAGACTTGATACGATTATTCGTATTATGAAGGTTTGACCGTGTTTGAAAAAGGTCAAGGCAAAAAGGAGGCTGCGCGGTAGGTCCTGGAAGGGAGCATACATACACTCGTACATATGTGTGTATATAAACATATATCTATATTACTATTATTACTATTACGATTACTATTAGTATATACACATATATATACACATTATCATTATTATTATTACTACTATTGTTATTAGTGTATATGTGTGTATATATATACAAGTAGATATGAGTGCCCTGGTCCCGGCCTGAAGTCTCCCTCAGCTGGCTGCAGGACGACGCGATTGCGGAAGCGCTGGAGTGGAAACTGGTCGTCGCAACCTGCGGGGACTAGGTTATATGGCTTTGGGGCCGTAATATGGGGGCCTTAATAATGTGAATAGGGTTCCCTTTAAGGGTATTATGGGGTTTATTTTAGAGGCCCTTACAATTAGAAGAATATTGCTTTGGGGCCAAGCATACTATAATTATATAAGGAGCCCCCAAAATAGTAGAGGTACTTATGAAGGCCCCTATATTAGGTTATAGGGCTTTGGGGTGGTTTCTCGGATTTAGGAGAACAAGGATTTCTGGTTTAGGGCTTGCCGCTTCTAGGTTTAGGGGGCCAAAGTGGAGTGCAGGGCTTCCAGAGGTAGACCTACCAAGATACGAGATCATTGTTGCGATAGGATTAAACATGTATACTCTTATTCCTTATTGGGTTTAAGTACCCATGAACATGTAAAACGTTACCCAACGATGACAACGGATAATGCTGCCGCTTGCAGCTTGTGTCTTTGCTAGCAAGGTCAGGTCCCATCTTTCGCGTTTATACCTATCTGTCTGTCTGCACGTAAACATGGACGAGTGTTTATCTTGACACCTCTTTCATAAATTCTTGCGGCAAGGGCTGCCTTGCGATTATTCGCGATGTCTCAATATGCTTTCATGCCGCGGTGGACTGCTGTGCCCATGGCGAGAACAAACGGACGATAAAGGCACTACGGCCGAATCAACTTGCCAGACGTCATGCATACACGCATGCATGCAGCAAATCAACTCCGTTTTTTTATATTTTTTTGTCGCTGCAAAGCTTGAGCCGTGACTGCTTCCTAAGGTCCTATAAGTAAGAAAGATGTGAGCATTTACCTTAGGCTCCAAAAAATTTAGGACCCGATTCGGACACAAATCAGTCAACACACAGAGTTTTCCAGAGTGCAGGAGCACCTAAGCTTTGTAACAGTTCGTATGTAGGAACAAGAACCCTGGGCCTGTAACCCGCAAAGTAGTAAAATTCATATAAGGAAACCTAACAATAAAGGCCCAAGGTTTCCTAATCAGGTTCGGACATCTTTATAGTACCTTTATAGATCCCTTATAGTACCTTTATAGATCCTTTATTCCTACATTAGATGGTTTCGAGCTGCAGCGGCCGAAAGCTCAACCCCGAACGCCCGCATCCTTCTTGAAAGCCCGAGCTCAACAGAAGCTCGGTGGCAAACCCCAAACCCAACAAGAATCGAAAGTCAGAGCTGTACCATAGAGGCCTTATAATAATTACCTCTACTTTTTTGGGGGTTCCTTATTACAATCAGCCCGCTCAGATGCAACTGGTGAGGTTGTCGAGCGCCATGCGCTGAACGCTGTTCGCTATTGGGGGCACCGCCAGACAGTCCGAAGTGGATACTTGTTAATTTTTAACTACGTCTCTTAGTGTTATTGCAATTCTTACTATTGCTACTGATAATACTATTCCTGTTACTATTAGGTGCAGTCGATGATGCCCCAAAAAATGTTTCGAGAACTCGTCCGTGGTGCCATCGCCGTCAGGCTGTGACGGGCGCATGTTTGCGCCACGCAAACCGTCTGTCATTCGTGTAATAACAGCAGCGCCTGTTACAGGAATGACAGACGGTTTGCGATGCGCAGACATGCGCCCGTCACAGCATGTCAGGCCCATCGAGAAGCTGACCGAGACGGAGATCGGAATCTGGTGCTCGTCGAGAACAACAGGGTCATACCCTACCCCTACTTTTCTAGGTACTACAAAACAGATCCCAGCCATGAAACTAGGTACCTGAAAAAGGGACCCACTAGGTGCTATTTGCCAGATGCCAGGAGAATACCTGGTGTTGCCCAAAGGGCCCTAAGCACCTATGTAGTAGAACGTCGGTCGAGCCAACTACAACATTCGATGTTCACAACAACGAGTGCTTATACAGAACATGGTCGAACGAACCCTTATTATAGATCCCGTAACGAGTTCGCCCGATAAACCTGAAACCCCTAAACCCTAAACCCTGAACCGCCCCTCCTAGCAGGTGCTTTTAAAGCCTTTGACAAATTTCAGTGGCAAATAAGATCCTCTTAATCCCAATAAGAGCAAAATCTAGAAGCTCCCAAAGCCCTACCTAGCCTTTATATAACCTGCCTTTTTAGGTTTCCTTATTAAGAAGGTAGGTTATTCCGGGTTAAGGCAAACCCTAAACCCTGAACCGCCCCTAAACCCTAAACCCTTTTCCGGGGGGGAAGGCAAGTGCCTCGCCACTCGTTCCAGGATCCCAGGACTGGCGGCTTTCCCTGACCACAGGCAAACCTGGGCGTTGAATCCGCTTAGGGTTTAGGGGTTTAGGGATTGAAGTAGCCAGGGAGGAAAAAGGATAGTCATGTATTCTAAGTCTATAACAGCACTTTTAAGGAACAGGTCCTCGCAAACAGTATGACCACATATTCTAGAAGGGTTCCTTTGAGGAACAGGTTCCAAAAAAGGTGTTAAAGTATTGTACTCCAGCACCCGGAAACCTCAGAAGAGTTCCTCTTCCATGACGGGCAATATTTAGGCGCTTAGGCTGGCTGGTTGGTTAGCTGGCGGGCTGGCTGGCTGGGTGGTTGGTTGGTTCTTTGGTTGGTTGGTTTCAGTTTTTCTGTCGTTTTGAATGAATTGCTGTTTGGGAGGGTATATGATTGTTTAAGTACTTGGCTTTTAGGGGTTAGGGCTCCTTCAATATACGCATATATACATATATATAGAAAGGGATCAAGAAGGGTACTACACGGCCGTGCAGGGAGAGCCTAAGGGGGCTGAGTGTCAGAGTTTTGGGCATTTAAAGCTTCGCATTGGTTTCACAAGGCTCTTTTGGGTGGATGGATTCAAAGCACCCTAAACCCAAGACTCTCAGACACCCTAAACGTGCTCGTGGGCGTTCTGGACACTTCAAGGGGAGAAGACAGGAGTTTCTGAAAACTAGGGGTAGCTCATTTTTGGGTCCTTATGATACGGAGCCCACTATTTAGGGTAATATATTTGGATCCCCTATTTTCGGAAACTGCCATGTGCAAGAGAAACGTCCTGACCCAGTTCCTCGCAGTGCTATTGGGCTGAAAGCAGGGTTTAGGGTTTAGGGGTCTAGAGGTTATTGCTTAGGAATTTAAAGTTTTGGGGTTTAGGGTTTAAGGTTTTAGGATTTAGGGGATTCGGGTTTAGGGTTTGGCGGTTAGGGTTTAGGGTTTTGGAAACGAACATGAAGATGATGAAGACGATGCAGAAGTGCCCGAAAAGCTGCGCGATTGCTGTGATGCCGGGACTGCTGCCTCCAGTAGTAATACAACATAATCTATAACCTGGCCTAGCCCAAAAAAGCAGACTAAAATATAACGTAATATATTATCCTCTTGTATTTTCTCATATCGTCATCTTAAACTTATATAACATACCATATAAAGTACAACATTTAGAACAAGCGCAAGACCTAATGTACTATAATACCGTATCATATCGTCATATTATACTTTAAGGATATGTCATATTATACTATACGCAACCTTCAAAAACCCTGAAAGCCCCCAAGAGTCTTTGAAGAGTCCGGGCTGCTTGGAGCATGGCTCGGTGGTTCGGAGCGGCCCTGCGCCACATGGGTCATGGGTGAAGGGTTTAGGCCTTTTTTTCGGGCTTTAGGGTTTTAGGGTTTAGGGTTGAGGGGTTTGGGTTGAGGGTTCACGGTTGAGGGCTTAGGGTTTAGGTTGAGAGTTCACGGTTGAGGGAATAGGGCTGGGGGTTCAGGGTTTATGAAGGATTAAGGGCTGTAGGTTTAGGATTTCGTGGGTGCAAGCCAGAACAAGGCTATGTAGCACCCTGAATAGTAGGATCCATATTTTAAGGACGGAAAAAGAAGAAGGAGGCCTGAGCAGCAGCAGCAGCAGCAGCAGCAACAGCAGCAGCAGCAAAGTGCGTAGACACCGCGACTTGAACCACATAAACACAGAGGCAAAAACGGTCTGAGCATGCATGATACTTCGGACCGCTGTCACGAGTTCTCGTCTGTGATGCTAGCTCGGCGAGATACAATGCCGCTTGTTTGAGGCTCACATCTCCGAACCACTCAACCTGTGGAAGGCCTGTGCACGGGCTGCCACCAGGTGAGGCATGCTGCGCCACTCTTCGGTGCTGGGAGCGCGTGCCGCCGCCTGAAAGATGAAGGCTCCACATACGCTGAAAGGGGAACCGTCTAGTCATTTGGCATCTTATGTATGTCTTCCGAATCTGTGCTTCCTTCCGTTCCGTCGTATCTTTGCATGGACAAGGCACCACAGGTCGCTGTGCACGGTGTCCACTCGCTCCACTGGGAGAAGATACAATCCTCAGCACCCGAGCACTCTTTTCCAAACTTCCTTCTGACTTCTGGAAGCTTGTGCTACGTGGAGACCCGGCGTAGTAGTAGTAGTAGTCGTCGTCGTAGTAGTAGTAGTGGTAGTGGTAGTGGTAGTGGTAGTAGTAGTAGTAGTAGTAGTAGTAGTAGTAGTAGTAGCAGTAGCAGTAGTACTAGTAGTAGTAGTAGTAGTAGTAGTAGTAGTAGTAGTAGTAGTAGTAGTAGTAGTAGTAGTAGTAGTAGTCGTAGTAGTAGTAGTAGTAGTAGTAGTAGCAGTAGCAGTAGCAGTGCTGGTGGTGGTAGCCGTGGCGGTGGTGGTGGTGGTGGTGATGGTGGTGGTGGTGGCTCTCGTAAATAGAACGGTGACATTGCCAGGGCTTTTCGCCAGTATGCATTAAAAGATACCTGTTGGAGGCCTCAAAAGGTGGGATGAAGATAGGAGTAGGAGGATTAAGGATCCATTATAGAAGCACTCAGATTTTGGGATTGCTCCACCTACCTTCATCCCACCTAAACCCTAAACCCTACCCAACCCTGGAGCCCTTTGAAGTTGCTGCTCGGAGTCTCCACACATCCGCTGAGGCTCCCAAACCGGAAGGCATAAGTAGATACACTATAATTTTATACTAGCCCGATGCTCCTGGACCCTCGAAGAGAGATCCCAAACCCTAGCCCCCAAAGCCGAAACCCTCCCCCAGAAAGCCTTAGGGTATAATGTACTATGACATACGATGATATGCTATAATACACTATACTATACAGGAACTTTGTGGAGCTTCCGGATCTGCAAGAAATGGTGCGCCTGGAATACTGTAGGGGGTCTGAATAATTAGAAGAGGGTTTGGGGGCCCATTAAACTATATTCAGAATAAGGATCCTCCAAACTAGTATAGGTAATTAATGAGGCCCCTATGGTAGATTGCAAACGAAATGCAATGCTAAACCAAACCCAACAGCAGTATTCCAATATTCCTTCCTTGGCACAGGAACCGAAACTATTCCTTTAAGGAGCCCTTAAAGGATGGATATATATATATATATATATCTATATCCTGAATGCCTTAGTTGCCGAGTTCATAAGCCCCAAAAAGTTTAAATTGTTAGTTTTCAGAGGGTTTCAGTATCCCAAAACGTATTAAAGTTTATAAATTCAGCTACTAAGATGAAGGGGCTTTGGAGGCTCTGAACCCTTAAGGATCCCTTTAAGTAACCCTACAGATCGCTTTAAGGATCCCTTCAAAGGCCCTGAGCCGGGTCGCGGAGGTCTGAGGCGACTCGAAGGGCCGCGTCTGGTTCCAGTAGCCCTCGCAAGGCCTCGAAGAAGTGGGGCGGGGTTTAGGGTTTAGGGTTTAGGTTTAGGGTTTAGGGTTTAGGGCAACCTTTACAGTGTTCCTTTAAATCTTACAGGATGGCGTAAGGGGTCCATTAAGGGATCTATCATGGTTCTAGAAGGGTTTAGGGCTTAACGAAGATGGGACGAATGGGGCTTGGGATATTTTACGCTTTTGGATTTAGAGGGTCATGGGACCTATGGGGTTTTGCGATTTGCCGTCGGAAGGCTTCGAAGGGACGAACAGGGTTTAGGGGATTTCTGGGTTGGTGCTATGGGCTTAGGGGATTTCAGGGGTTCAGGGGTTTAGGGTCCTAGAATTCCCAGTAACCTCGGGACAAAAAGGGCTCCTGTTTTGGTATTGGATAGTTTTGTCAGGAATCTGAGACCACAAAAAGGGAAAAAGGGCCCATTTAGCACTCAGACTTGGTCCAAGTAGTCGCCACATTGGCAGGTGACTTTTGGAAGAAAGCTGGTACACTCTCGAGCAGCTTGTTTCGTCGGACAGCTACGGAAGGCAGTTCAAACTCTTTTCAGCTTGACCGAAGTCCTCACATGCTTATCAAGCCCATCATATGAACAAACAGCCATGCCGCTGATGCACTTCAAAGCCGCAGGAACATCACATCTAAAGTACCATGACGACACACCGCGAATCCTCATGTGCAGCGGCCTTCCGCCGAACTTGGCTTCGTGCCGAATACGTCTATGCCTCAGCAGCATCATCCACCCAAACATCAGGTCGACAATTACCGAGCTTCAACCTACGTAGGCCGTGAAGCTTCAGGTGGCTCGGATCCCTGAATCTTCAGATGGCTGCTTCCGGGGAGCCTCGCTCCGGAGAACGTTCCTACTCACCGCTCATCTTCACCCTTAATTTTGTGAGCCTTTGTGTATACGTAGTATGTTGCCTTTTTGTTCGGAAACGAAACGAACGTACGTTGTCCCAGAACATGCGGTTTGTGGTGAAAGCTGGGATCAACCCCGAAGTCTGAACATAGCCCCACGATATATTCATCGTAAAAATATTCATAGGCTGATGAATAATCATAATCATAGCAATAGGCAATAGCCATAGTCAAAATCATAGCAGTCGCAGCGACAGCAGAGGTAGTACCATATGGTTGCAAGGGGCTCTTTTAGGTCACACAAATAGTACGGCACACCAAACAAAAAGGACTCTAAAAGGGACCCGAATTTGGGGAAGTCTTTGTAAAACCTGATAGAAACCCTTACAGATCCTTTTGAGGAACCCTAGTTACTAGATTCCCTTTAATGGCGCGACAAGGGACCTTGTGCTCTGACCGACCTTGGTGTCGTATTCTCTTGTCCATTCAGACCACCTTGGCAACAGGTGTCAGCTAGGCTTAGAGTTTCGGGTTAGAGCTCTAGGGCTTTTGGTTTATACAGGGTTCAGGGTTCTCCTAAGTGAAACATATCAGCGCCTGCATACTGCGCAGCACAGTCCAGCTGCGCTTTCGGAGAGAGAGAGAGAGAGAGAGAGAGAGAGAGAGAGAGAGAGAGAGAGAGAGAGAGAGAGAGAGGGAGAGAGAGAGAGAGAGAGAGAGAGCGACAGGGAGAGACTTGCGGAGATGCGCCTGTCCATTGGTATGTATGCATGGATGCAGATGTATGCATGAATGTATCATGAATAAGCGTGCATGTGTCTGTACGTATCCATGTATGTACGTGTGTATGTAATGTGTGTATGTAATGTGTGCAGTGTATGTAGCGTATGTAATGAGTGGAGTGTATGTGCGCTATGTAACGCATGCAGTGTACGTTGTGTATATGTAGCGTATGCAATGTATGTGTTTAAGCATGTATGTATGTATCAAAGTTCAAGTAGCTACTTTCCGAAAGGAAAGTACGTGCAGTGGATATACAGACACAGCATGTACCCACGACTGTTGATGGCAGTAGTCAGGGTATACGGGTACACATATACGTATGACTTTGTACAGTAAGTTTCGTTGCTTACACTCTTAGATATCGGTATGCAGCATGCATACCTTGCATGCATGTGTATGGCCGACACATGAAATGCCACATCCATCCACACAGTTGCAATACGCACGAAGCAAGAACAAATGCACACGTATAATGTGTATGTGCGTACATAGCCGTATGCGTAAGTGTACATATATACATACACATATGTATATACAGTAGTGTACAACAAGAAAAGCAGCTAACCACACGTTATGGATACAAACACGACCGCGCAGTAACTACTCCACTGCCACGCTTCATTGCATGATGCGCTCCTTCATGATCGACCTAAAACGTAACAGTGCAGTATACTTTGCAGTTTCCTGTCAACCAGCATGGGCATTAGAGCCGAGAAGCAGTCTCATGCTGTTCAATACAACACGATGCCCTGCCTGACAGACGGCACTTACCTCACAGGCCTACAGGCCATATCATGCCGTGCATACTACATCAAGTTACAATCCGCCACAGGAACCCAAGCACAGAGAAAACAGGATTCGTAAACACGTGGATATACAACACACGACATTTCGGTCAAGCAGCTGTGCCCAAACGCAATCAGTGGGATGCATGGCGCACTCCGTAGGCAAACCTGGGTGACTTGTGGTGTGCAAGGACGCACACTACTCTCCATGAGCACTAATCATGATAGTCTTGCTGCCGTTAGCATTGGACTCCCTCTGTGACTTGAGACGTCGTTGAGGATATGACTAAGGAAGTGCATCTTCCAGCAGCGGGCCGAAGCATCCACCTTAAAGCTCAAACCCCTAAACCCTAAACCATAATCCCTCAATTCAACCATAAGCCCTTAAACCCCCCCTAAAAGCCCAACCCCGAAACAAGGCCCGGGTGGCAGCCGGGATTTCTGGCCGTCTCAATCTTTGCGCCGAAGCAAGGCTTTCCTTTGAGGAGTTGCAAGCTAGAGGGTTTAGGGCTTAGGGTTTAAACCCGAAAGACTCCTAACTCCTGACCCTAAACCTGAAAACCGTAAACCCTATAGATCCCTTAAAGGAACCTTTAACCCCTCAACGTAGGTTGTAGGATTTGTGCAGGGTACAATCCATGCTCACCGCGGAGATGTCGGATGCTGCAGGCCACTATTTAGAAATTCATTCCTGCAGAGCTACACCTGGGGCTGTGAATGCATCCGAAAGAATGGTACTTGGAGGATCATGGGACTTAGTAAGTATGGTTATAAATACCTTAGTTGGGGTTATAAGTATAGTTACCTTATTTATAACCCTAGTTACTAGGTCCCATGATCCTCCAAGTAAAGCACAGTTTCCTAGGCCTTGATCCACATATCGCCTCCAGCTTCGGGTCTGATGCAGAGAAAATCATATGGGAGTCTCCGAAAACTAGGGGTACCCTGTTTTTGGCTCCTTTTAATAAGGATCCTACTATTTAGGGTACCATATTCGGGTCCCCAATTTTCGGAAACCCCAATATAGTCTCGCGCCAGGAATGGAATGTGAAACTTACGCAGGTTTCTGATGATGGCGGCAGTGCATGGGACGCCTGTCCTGTGGAAGGTGTTTGTGATTGTTGATTGCAGGGGGTTGCCCCCTTGGACACGAATGTCTAGGCGCGTGTTCAATTTTCAGGATGGTATTAACTATGTTGCATGCACGGTTAAGTGCGGCCAGGCATTCCGCACTCGTTGTTGGACTGCTCGATGTCTCTTTGCCGCGAGCAGAGTCCTATGCAGCCGCCGAGCGAGAACCAGTTGCCTGAGATGCTGACATGTGGGGTGGGGGGGGGTGAGAGGTTCAACAAATTAGGGTCCCTCTTGACATCTTTTCCAAGAAACATTCTAGCAATCGCTATTCGGGTCCATCAATTTCTGAAAGTACCTCGTAGGGCACAACTCAAAGGCACGGACTGTAAAGACACTTCGAATCAAACCCACGTGCGATTGAACTTGAATCTCAGGCCCTACTCAACCCAGAAGAGAGCGCGAAGAAAGTGTGACCCTGGGCCCCAACTAAAAAGGTAGGTTCTTTGGGGTCCAGGTAAAAACCTTAATCACAACAGAATCCCAAATATGACCTGATTAAGGGGCTTTGGAGGCTCTGGGAAGCTTCGAATGTACCTTCGCTGCAGGAAAGTCAGGTTTCCAGAATGGATGCGATATGGGTAGGAGCTAGGATTAGGGGGAATTTTGGGCATATAGACCACCTCAATAACGTCCCTTTTGAGAGAGAGCCATAAGTAGGGGTAAGAAGGGTCCCCTTTAAGGGGTCGCCCTACTTAACACTACCTAGAAATGGGGGCCTTGAGGAGTAGAACAGCAGTGACTGCATGGTTACCCTGAACCCTAAACCCCTAAGCCTAAACCCTAAACCCCCAAATCCCCAAACCCTAAACCCCTAAACCCCCAAACCCTAAACCCCAAACCCCTAAACCCGCAAACCCTAAACCCCTAAAGCCACCTAAACGCTAAACTCTCAATGCACACTATTGCTGTACGTATTCCTCCCCTGGGCAAAGCTCCGGGCCTGAACCCTAAACCTTACCAGTTTAGTGTTTAGGGGATTAGGGTCTTAGGGTTCAAGTGTCTAGGGGTTTAGGATTTAGGGTTCAAGGCTTCACGGGTTCAGGGTTTAAGGGTTTAGAGGATTTAATGGTTGAGGGGTCAAGGAGACAGGTATTCACTGACCAGCCGAGAAGCTCCACTGCGCAAACTTGCCTGGCATGGGAACTTTGAGCGGCAAGAGGTTGCTAGGCAGGGCGATTTTGTAATTTGTTGAGTGTGTTGCACCCTTCTCCAAAGGTCCAAGGCGCGCTGCCCAGGCAGGGCTTTTAGGGTTTAGGGCTTACTGGCGAAGCGAGCTTTGCTCAGCTTGCTCAGTTGCTGGCTTCGGGCTTAGTGTGGAAGGTGAGCTTTGAGCGAGAAAGCCCCTGATCAAGTCAAAGAGCAAGATCTGGGCTGGCAGGCGGCGGCGCAGGGATAAGTTCCTCGACAGGCTGGGTTCTTGTTAAGGAATGCAATTTAGGTTGCCATGATAGGGAAATCCCATTATTTACAATAGTTCTCTCTTATAACAGGTCAGGGCTGGAAAAGCAGGTCTTTCTTGTCATGTGCTCATGCACGACCCATCCAAGACCAAGACAGAAGCCATCCCTGAAGTCCTTTCTCTTAGTGAAACGAGCTCCACGACTTCTACCTTCGCAAGGTGGGACAGGATAGAGCCCCTACAGCAAGAATTCGGCTCTTGAACCTTTAGAGACCAGTGTCCTTTTCTGGCCGATTTTTAGTACAAAACACTCAATCATCCGAAAGGCGCTTCGTGGTATGTTGCAATACTACACTAACCTGGAGGGTCTACCCTCTATTAGACTCTAAATGCCTCTTATTTGGGACCATATACCCCTATTTGAGGTTACAGGAGGGTCCTGGTACTCAAATTTCAAACATAAACATTACCCTACATTGCTACTACCCTGGACGCAAGTGCCGAATTGCTGGTTCCATTGGACCTCTAGGGACAGGGATCACAAATTTACGGCGCGGAGCTGCAATACAGAGCTGATTTTATTGTTCTGCTCAGGGAATCTACATAGAGCTTATAACAATAAATAATAAAGGCTATGAAGTGTTCAAGGATACTATATCGGGCCAATGATGTAGGGCCCCTCTTCGGGGCCCCTACAAGCAGCCCCTCAGGACCCTTTACTAGCAACGGTTTAGGGTTTAGGGTTTAGCTTCGCCAGCCGAGTCTCGCTCACAAGCACCCACCTCTTTCTCCTGGCCCTCACATTGGTTTTGTAGAATCTGGACCTCGGTTTCAGTGGGCAGATCAACTTCCTGCGTGGTCATGCACTGCGAGGTTGGTCCTGCAATTTTGGCCGCATGACGCCGAATATTTGCCCTTCATGTTGCGAGTGCTGGTTTAACTTGAGCGTCATACTGAGCCAAACCTTTGTAGGCCGTACCCTGATGGAAGCTCGTAGGCCCATCTCGCTTGAATCTCCCAGGTAATGTAGGGGCCTTATAATTGGAATAGGTTTTGGGGGTATATTGTATTATACTATACCCATAAGAAGGAACCCACAATAGTAAAGGTAATTATCAAAATTAAGGCCTCGATATTATAATACCCGCATAGATCCCATATAGTAATCCTTATAGACCCCTTTAAAGGAACCCTAGGAGCCCCCCCCTCTCCTTCGACTCTTCCCGTTAGGCTCCTGGCATCGTGCTTGGGCTGCAGAGGATCTGGAAAGCTCCCTGCTGTCACCTGGCCAGCCGCCAGATCAGCAGCAGTGCAGTGCATCCAACAAGGAGAAGCAATACTTCGAGCATCGTATAATACAAATCATACGAAATCATACACTAAAATTAGTTGGATGTATAGCATGCTACATTAGGTTATGATAGGTTATGCTGTGCTAGACTAATCATGCTTCGTCACCGAGACTTAAGCAGATCTTTTGCTGATCACCTATGGGACTTTGGTACACACTATTGCTATGTTCTCGCCATTTTCCCCCTGCCGTCCGATTCCGCCCTGTCCCTCGCCTGATGCAGCACCAAGTATGATATGACCGCCAGCCATCTCGGCTTGTCCATGCTCCTGGCAGACGCAAATGACGGACACCTGACACTCCAAAGAAGGAGAGTGTGGAACTTCCCAGCCCCGGGGCAAGATGAAGCAAGGACTCGCTTTTTGGTACAAAAACTCTTTCCCACCTTCGGTCGCGACATGCTAATGACCATTGTTTATGTTCCCGGAATGGCGGCATGAATGCCAAGCGCCGACAGGTCCCAAATGTTTACAGTTTACGCCCTACAAAAGGCCCTCTCCCTGTCCTGTCGTCCCGCTGGGCCAGGCACAGGGAACGGAGTCCGTCTTTGATCCAAACAGCAGCGGACCAAGGACTTTCTGCAGGGCTTGCCGGAAGATGGAGTGTGCATGGCAACAAAGCTACTTTCGAGAGTCGGGATGATCCTATGGGATGTCTACAGCAATCATCTGATTTCACTAAACCCCCGAAGCAGGACATCGGGATTCGGGATGAAGAGGTTCCAGCGCAGCGGCGCAGCCTCCATGTAATCCGCGAAAAAATGGTGCCCTTCCTGGAGGCTTCGATGCTCAAGTAGGGTCTGGCTGAAGAATCGAACAAGGGCTTAGGGGTTTCGGGTTTAGGGTTTCAGTCGCCTTATTAAAAATACATTAGTTCAATGCGTTGGACCGGCGCGCGGCCAATATCCTGAAAGCAATTTTCGAAAGACACCGTGTAAACAAGCAAGCCACATTCTTACTTAAGGGCTGCGGAAGGCACTTGATTCCAATAAGAACGAGTGATGCTCTGAAACGTGGAACCCTGAACTAAACCATAACCCTAAAGCAGTCCTCGCTCTCGGTCAGCTTGCCGAAGATGTCGGGTGCGTACCTGGTAAGACAGGAATGTATGGCAGTGAAGCAGCGGAATCGGGCTATGACGAGGCACATTTCTGGTTTATGCAGGTATGTGAAATTTGTAAGGGATACTCCTGCTGATTGTTCAAAGCTCTAACATTGACTTCAATTGTCTGCTCGGATTGGCGATACCCCTGAACCTTACAATCCTGCAACAACTTTTTGGATCAGAAGGTCTTCGACCCCAAACCCTAAACCACCAAAACCCCTAAACCCTAAACGCCTAAAACCTCAAACCCTTGACCCGTGTATCCCTAAACATTCCCGAAACTAGCCCTCCCAGGCTTGACGGTCCGTTGCAGATGCTAACTATGCTAATCCTAAATCCTACAAACCCCAAACCCAATCAAATGTGGGCTTCAGGCGCACTCAGCCACCCACTCCGGATCCTCTTCAAAGCTGTATTCCTCGACAGGGGAGATGCTGTATAACACATACATATCTACGCCCACACACACACACACACCTTTGACTACAAGGGAATCTTATGGGCATTTTTTATGATCTGGAGCCAGTCGGGGTTGCACCAACTGAGTCAGCTAGGTTTCAGAAGCCTTGACATGCGTGCCTTCATAGCTGGAAAAGAGGCTCCAACCCTCCTCAATTAAGGAATATACCTTAAATCATATTCGGGATTCTACTATGATTTAACGTATATTCCATCGTTAACCTGGACCTTTTTTAAAGTTTCCTGTGGCGATTTACTGCTTTAAATCCTTAAAATGGTAGGCTATTCGGGTTGCAGGAAGGGGAATATTGCACCGTAACCGTACCTATAGCCGAAACGCTGAACCGTGGAAGGGAACCGACTTCAACATAAACGAGACTGCGAAATGTACAAGCCCGGCTGCTTGCTGAAGGCGACATTCAAGAGAAGCGAATATTTCTTCAGCACTTCTGCGAAGTTTGCAACAACAAGCGTAGCCAGATTGCCAGCCAGATTGCCATTGGGGCCTTAAATATCAGAACATGGCTTGAGAGTGTATGAGAGTGTGGTTCAGGAGGGACGCTAAAGGTATTGAAACTCAAATATCAGTTGTTGGGTAAACGGGACAGTAATTACTATATGTCGTGGTAGTCTAGTACTCGTTCCTGGGACCCTAGTATATCCTCTATATTAGACTGCTCCGCAGAATCTGACCCCGAAACCCAAAAACCCTAAACCCTACATTAATGCCTTTTCCCTAAACCTTATAATCCTTGAACCCAGCCCTGAACCCTAAAGCATAAACCTGAACCCCAAACCCGAACCGCTGGACCTTACAAACAAATAAAGCTTAAAGCGTGAGGCTTCATACTCTGATTTAACCTAACCTATATTCCTTAATTGAAGCGTCTTGGAATCCCATACCCCCTAAACCCGAAACCCTACACGACCGTAACACCCTGAACACCAAACCCTAAGCACTAAACCCGAAATCCTAAACACTGTATACCCTGAACCCTAAACCCACCACAACTTAAGGACGATTATACCATAGGTATTATCAGGGACCTTAAGTTTGGTATGGGAAATTATTTAGGCCCCTATATTGTAGTACCTTTATAGACCCCTTAAAGTAGAACGCGCATAGACCCCTTTAAAGGAACCCTAAACAAGAGGCTTTGGGATTTGGGAGTGGTTGGGCTCCCTGAGCCCGAGTGCGGAGTCTCACTGCGCTGGCCTTCTCTGGCGAGGAGAGCCGCAAGGTCGCCATGTTCTCTTCCAGCTCCCGCCTTCGGTGGCAATACCCGAAAATAGTAGTAACCTAGTTCTTTTTAATGAGATGAAAAACAAGAGTAATAGTAAGAAATCGTAGTAGTCTAGAAAACAAAAGAAGAAGATGATAATAGCAACTAGTAGTCGCAGCAACAGCCATAACAATAGTAGTATCCCGCCTTCGGTGGCAACAGCCGTAGTTAGTAGTATTTAATTAAAGGTACTAAGGGGTACAAGCCTAAGTATAAAAACAATAGTAACAGTGGTAGTAATCTAGATTTTAGAATGAGAAGAAGAATCGCAGTAATAGTAATTAACCGTCATTACCAACAACAACCATAACTGACACTAGTCACTAATACTAATTCTTCAATCATGCTTGCGGTAAAAAGAGTAACAACAACAGCTATCATCAGACTCAGAACAGTCATCCCCAAGGCTTACATTAAGCCATGGTCCCTCGATGCAGAATAGGACTCTCATCTCCTGGCACCACAGCCCCGAGAGCTTTCCGCTTCTTTCACTCATCAACGCGATGGCTTCGATGAGAAAATCTCGAGCTACGGCGCTCAGAAGCACATGACCACCTGCACGGCGCTTGCGAAATGGTTCGTCTGTGGGGCCGACCATTATCTGGTAACCGATGCCATGGTTTTTGGGAGAGCAAAAGGTGCCGATGTCAATGCTTCAGCGATTTCAAGCAATCATTGGCGCACGAGGGACACCCGCTCTGTGCAAATTCGGTGCCTGCTGTTCTGCCATTGCAAGACCACGTTTCCAATGTACATGCATTTCAAGATATTTCGTCGGAGTATTTAGTAAGGGAATAAAGCAGTACACAAGATAAGTATGCATGCACTCACGTATAAGGATTACGCAGGCCTGCATGCAGAAGCTTTTCGAAAATGGGGGACCCTAATATAGTACCTGCAAATAGTAGGATCCTTATTGTAAGGAACCCAACATAAGGGTACCCCCTAATTTTCGGAACCTCCCATATATGCGTGTGGGAAGCGCACCTCTGGCAGCCCTTTCAGAGCATCGAGGACCCTGGAGATCTGCTCGACCTTGGAGGTTGTCTTCTGGTCAGCTTGCTAAGCACTAGGGGTCGGAACAAATAGCTAAGTCTTCCCTTACAGGGTTTAGGGTTTTTAGGGTTTAGGATCTAGGGACTGTGCAAATGTAGTATTATACACCCCAAAGCCGTGTTCTAAATCTTAAGGCCCCTGCAGCATCGTAGTTGATGCAAGCTACCCACTACAGTACTGGCAAGCATCTGTGAGGCTTGAACCGATTCTGCCTCCGCAATAGCCAACACATTCCATCACCCATCTGACTTAAAGCTCCTCCACCCTTCCCTAAACACCAAACCGTTGCCAAAAGCCAAACATCAATTACTGTAGCATGATACCAGGCAACATAAGATAATACAACTTATGGCACCACAACACACACACACACACGCACTCATATTCATGCACGCATACATATATATGTATATATACATATATATGTATATATACGAATATATGTATATATATATGTATATATATATATATATTTATTCGTATGTGTTTGATCAGAGTTTCGAGATCAATGCTTCCCAAGGGCACACCAGACTTGCTGTCGAATTCGAACCTCGGCTTGAAAGGAAAAGAAGCAACAAGCCCGAGCCCCGGGGTGTGTTTGAGTTCCCCGACAGGGGTCCCCCCAAGAAGCGTTCCGTTACTGTAAGGGATCCTATAATGGATCCTACGAGGGATCCTATAAGGGTTCGTATCAGAGATCCTATAAGGATTCCGACAAGGGTTCCTACGAAACCCTTCCCTCACAGGAACGTAGGGGGCTGCGAAATAGGCATGCCGGCAGGAATGCTTGGACATCACTTATACTGCACTGTCTTTGCAACCCGAGCGTGCAACCACGTGTTTTCAGCTCGGCCCCCCGGAGCCGCAAGGACACCACCACATGATATGACGGTGAAACCGTTACACTGACGAAAGCTAAAGCTTTCAGCTCCTAATGTCACATGCATGAACTTGCTGCGAGGTCCTACCGCTTTCTTCTAGCAACATCGCGATCCTCGAAGCAAAGCTGAAAGCCTTCACTGTCCTTCAGTCTCGCGGCCGAGGTATATCTGCCATTGAGCCGGGTAGTTACCGACAGGGCCTTGCTGGGAGGCTCATGGTTTCGGGTTTAAGGTTTGGGGGTTTAGGGGTTATGGATTAGTTATGGTTTAGGGCTTTAGGGGTATAGGGTTTAGGGATTTAGGCATGATTTAGGGGTCTAGGGATGCTCATCGGCTTCGATCGCTGGGGCTTTAAAGTAGAGGAGGGTTTTGGTGCATGTCATGCTACTTGTATAACAACAACAAGGAACCCTGCAAGATTGGTATTGCAAGTTGCACAGGCCTCTACAAAAGAGGGGTGGCAAGCTGGAAGTGGCTTCTAGAACCCCTTCTAGGATCCCTTAGAAGAACCCTCATAGGATCCCGTATAGGATCCCTTAAAGGACCCCCCCTTTTTGTGTCCTTGGACTTGGCTTTCGAGGTTTGGGGCCTTATATCTCAGCGATCTGCGAAGCTCCTGCGATGTCTTCAGCAAGGAGCCCCGAGCCTGATGTTTCCCTGCCCTCTTTAGATCCCTTAAAGGGACCTTCATAACCTTACTCACTAAGTCCCATGACTAGGATGCCCAGTAACCTAGGAAGAAAAGGGCTCCCTTTTCGGTAGTGGGTATATAACCTTTATAAGGAACCTAGGACTACAAAAAGGGAATAAGGGTAGTACTGAGCATCCTAGCTACTTGTCGGGTATCATTGGGAACTAAAGGCTAACCTTGTTGCTTACATAGGGTTTTGTATAGGGACTATACTACCCAAAAATGGTTAAAGGTTACCTACTCTACTACTAGGTTCAGACTTCCAAAACCCTTTGTTAAGGAATATTCCTCGAAAGGATTTAAGGCATATTCTTAACTAAGAGGTTTTGGAGTCTCTGCGTGGGAAAAACCTCCAACCATCAACCTAAGATTCGGTGTATCGGGGATTGTGGAAAAAGGCCTCCCCCATACAATTCTGGGTGACAACACATCCTCCGCCAGCTCGCCAGTGTGCTGCGCGACGGCTTCTCGAACCTTCGTGGGCCCAGGCGGGTCCCAAGGCGTTTAAGATGTATTTCGAAACTTAGGGTATGGTTTGGGGTTTCGGGGGATGCTGACACTCGGCACTGGGATGTCAGAACAGGACGTCTTGCTCGCAGAGGCACACTTACCAGGAACTGCTCTCGGTCGTCATCGGTTTTCGTCTTGCCGACCACCTGGCAGCACTGTCCCAAGGTTATGCCCAAGCCTGGGTTTCGATCTGAACTTCCAGGCAAACTATGAACTTCAGCATAACGTCCTAGTGAAGGCAGGGGCACCGCATGAGGGACAGTCAGATGCCCAGCAAATTCCCTTACATAACAAGAAGGTCAGAAAACTTGGCAACGCTGCCACCTGCCACTCCTGCTCCGTCGGGAAAGAAGTCAACGCTCCAGTCAGCCTAGGCGGGCAATCTTGATCTTCTGCGGGTTTTGACTAACCCTATAGATCCCTTAAAGGAGCCCTATAGATCCTTTTAAGGAACCCTAAGGCATATTTCTTAATTAAGGACCGGAGTTTGCCAATTGATGTTAAAAGCTCACAGGCCCGCATGAGCAGAGCAACGGGACGCGGCAGTGGTGTCGAAGATAAGACAGGCGAAAGGACGCGGCAAACCTGAAACTTAAGCCTTAAACCCTCAAACCCTGCTGCCTACATTTCCCACAGGTCGCGCTGTCAAAGTGGGCCCACCCAGATCTTGATTCCAAAACGCCGGAAGACAATAATGCTCCGTGTAGAACCCTGACAGCAACCCTTACAGGAACCTCTCTCGGAAGCCCTTACAGAACCAAGCCTTAAACCTAAACCCTCAACCCTGAATCCTAAACCCTAAACCCAACTGTGGTGTCATCGATCTCCAAAGGATCCAGCAACGGGCTTGCAACTATTCCTCCTTAACCGAATCATTAACCCCGAAGACCATACTAAACAAGGCTTTGGGGCTCTTTTGAGCCTTAGGGTAGAGGGTTTTAGATATCCTGCTGCCAGGGCACGCCCCCACCCCCTGCTCCGTGTCGGGAACTCCCTGCGGCATCACGGGTCGGGGTGTAAGGTGTCGTTCTCACCGCCCAGTCAGAAACCTTAGACTCGTGTCCGCTAGCTCTATTGCGTGCTTCAGCCACCACGCGAAACCCGCAGGAATTGCGAGGCCTTAATCAAAGCGATTCAGTATATGAGGGCTCCTTGATCCTACCCTGAACCCCAAAACCCTAAACACCTTAACCCCAAACCAGATAACTCTAAACAGCCCTACTAGAACCCTGAAGCCCTAAATCCAACACCCGAACCGAAAACCCGTATGTAAACCCTGAACCCAGAACACAGAACCGTACCTTCGTCTCTTGAAGCACCTGACTCAACCAAGCTCAGTAGGTTGCCTCCGGCGCCTTGTAAAGTCCTTGATGGGCCCTGGCAAAGGGCGGCAAGGACTTCATGAACCGAGTAGCACTATGTTACCATCTATATGCACACGCCACACATAAATAGATAAATCAATATGTATATATATATATATATATATATACATATGTACATACATACATACATACATACATACAGACAGAGTTACATACATATCGCCACATATATATATATATATATATATGCACACATACACATACGCATACACACACACACACACTATGTATACTATATAAACATACACACACACCCAATAGATTATATATGATAGAGGTTCTGCAACTCAGAACGATGCAACCTATGACTCCTCGCGGCAACCAAGCCCAGCCTGGCATAGGCTCATGAATGACCTATACCCCCTTGAAACCATACTCAACAACATGCGTTTAATATTCTCTTGGTGTTTTTATGAACAAAAACAAAAAATCCTAAGGAGACTATAGATACTGCACCAGGCCTCTGCTTGTGTGGAGTTTGTTGACATGCATTCAACCTATTCTCGTCCCTCCTCTGGATGAATGGCTCCCAACTCCCAGCCGCGGCCTGTTAGTCCCGCCGTTACAGTACAATCTGCACCCCCAATCCAATTTTAAGGCCCCGTGGACCCTATACAGTAACTCTAGGTAACCCTTAGAGAAGCCCGTCTATAGCCTTGCAATGCCCTACTCAGACCCTATTCGGATCACTAAGGCCCCAAGAGCAGGGGCCCTAAACCCTGCTCAAACCTTTCCAAAGACTTAAACTTAAACCCAACTCTAAGCATCGAGGGTAGGGGTCCTAAAATGAAACCCCTGATCGAGTTGCAAAGAAGGCTCACCTGCAGCCACAATACAAAATAGCAGGCTATGACCGAATATTCATAGGGTCTAGCCCTTGAATGACTTAGGGTTTAGGGTTTACAGGGTTTATCCCCTAAACCCTAAACCCTGAACCTTTAAAAGTAGGTCATTGGAGTCCCGGGCATCCGCCTGGTGACCATGTTCACCCTCTCCAGCACCTCTTTCGTGACGGTCTCATCCTAGCTGCATTTTGCGTGTTTAAGGGTTTTGGGTTTGGGGGTTCTGGGTTTAGGGTTTAGGGGTTCAGTGGTTAGGGGTTTGGGGGTTTTGGGCTTAAGGGTTTTGGATTTAGGGGTTTTGAGTTTGGGGATTTTGGGTTTAGAGGCTTTACTTTGGATTGGGGGGTTCGGGGTTTAGAGGTTCGATACTGATCACGGCCATCAGTTTCAGAGACAACAGTGGGGTGAGCACCGTCGATGCATCCCAGACTACTACGAGGCGCGGCATGACTACCTGCAGATCAGTCAACACCCGCATGCACCACTTGCGACCTCCTCCTCACCTCCACTGACGAAGAAATACTCGACATCGTCAATGACCTAGCAGTTGCAGCTCATGGCGAGGTCTGTCTTGTGTTACGCAGCCAGTTTAACGATGTCGAAAGAGACTGTTCACAAAACGGGCAGAATGTGTGTGTGTGTGTGTGTGGCTCTCTCTCTCTATATGTGTGTGTACATATACATACATACATATATAAGTAGATAGAGAAGGAGAGAGAGAGAGAGGAGAGAGAGGAGAGAGAGAGAGAGAGAGAGAGTATGTACGTGGAACTAATGAGTATGTACAATACAGTCCGAAGCCATTGTGTTCGGAATATCAAGGCCCCTCTATGTGCGCACATACATACATACGATTAACCTATGATCGTAGTTGTTGCAAGCTACCCACCACAGGATCGGCAAGCAGCTGTGAGGTTTGAACCGATTCTGCCTCCACAATGTGATCCTGTGACAGAAAGGCACATCATCCATCTGTTTAGAATTTACAGCTCCTCCACCCGTATTGCGCAGGAAGGGCCGCTAGATATTATGAAGAACAACTTGATACAAGGCAACATAAGTTAAGATGACTTGTGAACGATGTGTGTGTATATATATATATATATATATATGTATACTGCTTTATATACACACACCTAGACCCTCTCTCTCTCTCTCTATATATATATATATACATACACATGTATGGACATGTACAATATGTTGTATATACAAGCTGGTCTGCGACAGCGTGCTGAGAGCAAGGCCGCATCCCCCGGGCTAGTGTCTGTGCCGACCTCCTGCGGAGGAACGACACCATTCTCGCCTTTGCAAAACCAACACTGCTGCGACATGAGATATGATATGCTATGGTATGATCTGCTGATCTGCTCCTTGTAGCTTGCAACTGAGAATCCTGCGACTAGCTGCGGTCTTCATCGAAGGGGATTGGCTCACTGCCGCTTCGTTTGCACGATTGTGCCATTGTCTGTGTATTTTGATCTCACTTGTGCTCTTATCAACACCGAAATGTAAACGCACCACCGAGGTATGCTCCTGTATGGATCAGGTTCAAGCAGATAGCTTCAATTCGTGACACCAGTGTTTGCTCGCTCTGTATTTTTGTCACGCCCGGGATGGTTCGAGACCTCCTGCCTCACTCTTGTTCTTTCTTTATCCCCGTTCTGTCAATGGCGGCACTCAAAGTCCAGAACTCTTCCCCCAAAAAACTCCTAGGTTCCTCTGTGGAGATACGTACCCAAGCCATCATCTACTCATTCCTATCATAGAAACCCTACTGTCTACTCTACAGGTACTTGTAGGAACCCTTAAAGGAATGAGGCCCTGAACCCTGACCTTTCATGGAACCCTGAAAGAACCCTACGTTCTACTATACAAAGGATTTGGGAAGTTTCAGGATGAAGCCTAAACCTAAACCCTAAACCCCATACCGTATACCTTATACCCTAAACTCTACAACCTAAACCCTAGACCCCATACCCTAAACCTTAAACCCTAGACCCCATACCCTAAACCTTAAACCCTAAACCCTTTTGCCGTACCCTAAACCTTGAACCTTAAACCCTAGACCCCATATCCTAAACTTTATAAACCCTCCTAGGATCCTCTGGGCCTGACAGAACTGCGAGCAGCGGGCCTCGGGCTCTGTTGCCCGGGCTCGACGCAGCCTGTCACAAGGACGATGGAGCGGAATGCAATACATATACATATATATACATATATATATATATACACACTTTCCATATATATATATAATATATATATATGTGTATATTACAACAGTATATAATATTATATGAGACAATACAAGGTAATATAATATGATATCATATACTATGACATAAGAAAGGACTGTTTCGTAAAATGCAGAATACTATGATATAATATGATCTAATAAAACACAACTAAAAGCATAAAGTATAATCAGCTCTGATTCTGCTCGGGCGATACGAGACCTGACTCGACCTGCCATAACCTCAATCCCCTTAAACCCTAACCCTCCTCGAACCTCTCCCTTCAGCTCCTAAGGCTTTATGCGTGTTTCGGAATCACCCACCGGTGTGCTACCGTCGCGATGGAGAGAGAAAACAATGATTTGACGACTTGGCACAGCACTCGGTCACGCAGGATTTAGGGCATTGAGCTCAGGCTTGTGAACTCAACGCAAGCATTCTATACTATACCACATAAGAACAGACTATCTTCTACCATAGTAAACTATAGCATACAAAAATGCGGCAACATGCCTTGATAACATGCATAATCTACCGTAGTATCCCATTAGTTGTATACTGTAGACTATAGTCCAACATAAGATATCCTAATGCACCAAAGTCCAACATAAAGCTACGACAGCCTCCTCGTCCGAGCCGCCAGGCCGGCAGCGCCCAGGGCCAGCGTCGCTGGCACTAGCAGTGGCCTCAGGCAGGCAGGCCCAACCAGGCCTTAGGGTTTAAGGATTAAAGGGATTTGGGCTTTAAGGGGTTGAAGGATTTGGGGTTTAAGGGTTTTACGGTTAGGGTTTAGGGTTTAAGGTAAACCCTCAATCCTACATAATCGTTTTTTGCAGGTGTAGGGTTTAGGGTTTAAGGCGCAGGGGACACACTCAGAGATCCGATACGCCCAACTTAGCTCCTTACAGTGTTTCTTATGGTTTTGCTGAAGGCTCTTTCCCCTCTGATACGGTCAGAATATCACGCCGGTAGAGCATGACCAATCAGGCTTAGGTTACGGCATGCACTCACCAAACCTCTCAGCTGACCTCACGAGGCAAAGCCTGTGCTGTCGACTCGCACACTGTCGAAGCCAAATGTTAAGGCCCCTATATTCTAGGTTCCGCTGTGCCCCTGAATATTATGTGTACCCTTTCCATGGTATCCAATTTTAACGAGTATGGCTTGCCTCTTCGTCGAGCTTTGTGCTCGGCTGCAGGCGGGCGCGCCACACACAGGCACCCTTGCAAATGGAAAGCAGTGTTTAGGGTTTAGTGTTTGGGGTATGTAGGGGGCTTAAAGTCTATAGGGATTCAGAAGCTGAAGGCTTTAATCTGCGAAACATTTGTGAAGCATGCAGAATTTCGCTTCTGGCTCATGGCAAGTCGACTGTCACCTTTGCGTCAGTGAAGCAGGAGGAGTGGTCGACATGATGCTTTACGAACCACTGCAATTCGGTCCGTTGGCTGCAGAATGTCTCCGGAAAATATTCGAGCAACTTTCACTCTTCTCTCTCATGCTTAGCGCCTACGGCGATCGACTTTTGCGACGGTCTTTCCTTCCTGTCAGCCCGTCTGCCTTGTCTGAATCCTCCCTGACCTGCCTCCGTGCCTGGTTGCACGCACCATTGCAAGTCGAAGCCAAGCATTCTCAAGCTGATGGACGTTGCCAGTGGAGAGAACTGACCCAATCGCAAAAGTACCTGCTCTCCATTGCCTCGACGTGTTTCCATTGCCGTCATATCCTTGGGACTGCACCCCCCTTCCTTCCTGCATGTATGCCTGCGGCCCAATTAACTACGTGCTTGGGCTCAGGATAGTGATTGCAATTGGCAGGTAATATAGGGGCCTTAATAATTAGAATAGAGTTTTAGGGCCTGGTATACTATAAATCCAATAAGGAACCCCCAAAATAGTATTGGTAATTTTTGTGCATCCCTATATTAGGCTGGCCGCTGCATGCGTTCACAGCTCCGGTGCCTTGCAGAAGCCGCCGTGATGGGCACGGGCGCAGCCGAGAGCTCCATGCTTTTGGAAAACGGGATGGGTGTTCGGTCGTGCGTGGCACCCTGTTTCTTTTGGAGGGCTGGGGTCTAAAATCTGGGTTTGATCTAGACTCGGGCAGTCTGCGACTGCGAGGGCGATCTGTTGTTGGATGCCCCTACTTCGCTGGCTGTTAGGGCTCAATGGACTTTGCAGAATGTGGGATGCTGTGGAAGCTATGACTTCAACAGTGTCTCTTAGCCGCGAAGCTGGCGTTCGTCATGCAAATGCACTCTCTCCTGCCAGTTGTCTACTGTAGGGGCCGAACAAATCAGAATAGAATTTCGGGGTATATTAGACTACATTTGTAATAAGTTCCCCCAAAGCCCTATTCCCCAGTCTAGTTGAGGCCACTACATTCGACAGGGCCCTCGTTTTGCAGCTTCAGCGCCCAATCCACGAAGTGGTCATGAGCACAGCATCACCAAGCCCAAGACAGGCTGCAACAAGTTGGACCGATACAGTGACGCAATAGCCATGGGAAAAGCTGGGCTGTAATGTAGGAGCCGTTTATAGTTATGCCCTTTTAGTTAAAGTGACAAATCTTAGGGATTTAAGCTAACTTGGCGTTTCTAGGTTCTTTTGTTATGCCCTTTCGTTAAAGTTAAAAGCTTAGTTTTAGGGGTTTTAAGCTAGCTTGCCGTTTACAGTTATTAGTTATGGCCATTAGTCAAAGTTAAAAGCTTGGGGATTGAGGCTAACTTCGGGTTGAGAGTTTAGGGTGTGCCCTCTTCAATCGCTCCGTGCCTCCGTGGCTTATCGTTGTTCATTAGGGAATGGAAGAATGGTAGTAATAGTAGTTATAATTGTACCCCATTCCTCCATTCCCTACTAACGAAAGGTAAGATATAGGAATATTAAGGCCCCTATATTATAGTACCCTTATAGTAACCCTTATAGACCGACTTTCCTCCATTCCCTACTAACCAAAGGTAAGTTAGGGTTAGGATGGTTGAGGGTTTTTTGAAGGAAGTCTGATGACCCCTGACTAGTAAACCCACCGGTCTTCAAGGGTCCCCAGATTCCCAAAGGGTCCTAGGAGGCGGGTACCGGGCCTTTCTCGAGATGGGCTTCTGTCTCGAAGGCTGCTCTGACCGAAGCGGGCCTGCACTCAAGCAATATAGGGGCCTCAATAGTTAGAATGGGGCTCCCTTAAAGGTGTTCCCTTTGGAGCCATAGGGTTCGAAAACATAGCGGCCAGAATAATAGAATTGGGGTTTGGGGCATATTATACCCTAACTATAAGAAGGAACCCCCACAATAGTATCGGTAATCAGTCAGGCCGGTGTATTAATGTACATACGTACGGACATACATAGCAGATTTATGTGCATGCATGCGAACCTGCAGTACATACACATGCTAGTCATGAACACGGGTATGAACAAACATGTACATGCTGTGTGGATACGCTTCCATACGTATATTCATCATATGGGTATATGTATACATATCTGTATACATGTATCTGTATAGGTGTATGTCTATGTATATGTATATGTAACGTAATGTAAGGGCAGGTAAGGTGAGTACGTAAGCGAGTAAGTCAGTATGTCTGTATGTATACTTATGTGGTATGTAATGCGTAAACTAGGTTATACACACGGCTCAGACAACAAGAGCACTCAATCTTCGTGTCTGCGTGTCCAGCTGGTTAGCTAGCTGGCTTCTACGGTTGCAAGGACATGTCTGGGTTGGGGCTTAGGGGGGTCCAAAGATTCAAAAACCTCTGCAGCCAGACACTCCTGCCACTCCATACAAAGTGTAAGCACTACATGACGTGAACAATCCATCAACCTGTCGTCCAAACTTGATGATATAAAATAGCTACCCCACACACTCACACCTCAAAGACCTCGACTGCATCTTCCCTGACCAGCCGCTCTAGCTCACCTCCCTGTTTCAACTCGAAACAAACAGCGGGTAAGGAACCTCCTTGGAACGTTGGCTTTGGCTTTGAGCCTCAGGGGCAGAATGGGAGCTAGGAGTCGACTCCAAGGACATTCAACAACAAGAGTGGGGGGTTTAGGGTTGGGGTTCCTTTACAGGTATCCTTAAAGGGGTCTAGAAGGGCTACTA